GACGCGGTATTGGAATCTTCTGACTCGGAACTCGCACCTCTGGAACCCACTTTACCACTCAAATGGGCGTTCAAGTAGTCCTGGGGAAGGTCTTTGGCATCGATATGATGGGTCAACCCAGCAGCGCGAGCGAGGCTGACCAGAGCAGCACAGTGGGTGCTTGCAATGTCCGCTGACGTCTTATCGCCGGAGGAATGTCCGTAGATTACGTTGAGCAGCATCGCCTGCACCAGCCACAGCGGCGTGTTGTGAACCGAGTTCTCGCGCGCGGGATTGGAGCGCGAAAATGCAGCAGACATGTCAGCTTTTCGACGCTCCTCAAGATATAGTTGGATCATCTTCTTCGCTGCTTCAAAAAGATCTTTCGACGCGGCGGTGTCAAATTCGTAGAGAGCGCCGATGGCTGCCATGGAAAGGATCAGGCAGCCTCCGCCGCCGGCGATACCGGTAGAGCTCAAGTTCAGGTGGCCGCTTGGAGTACGAAGGTTGTTTGTGTATTCGGGGGCTTGAAAATTGAGTGTCGGAATATGAAGGAACGGCATATGGGGATGGAAATACGTGATGTAGGCCGAGATATAACGCTGCATGTCTTGAGTGCTGGGGAGTTGGCCGGTACCGTTGAAATTGGCGGAACGTGAAAACAGGTCGCGACAGGGCATCATTCCGCTGGCTGGCTGGCTGTACTTGCGATGATTATGGAGACCGCTGGGCAAAGCCATGCTGGCTAATAATGCCTGTCGTGTGGAGTCTGTAAAGGTATCGGTTGAGGTTGGGGCATGGTGAGATCGTAGGGCACTGTTCGTGAAAGGCAGGTTGAGAGGATTAGGAGATTCACCGTTTGTTGCCATAGAAGATGAAAACATACTCTGGGAATGTCCTGCCATCAAGGGCTGGCCCACCGACGTCATGGAGGGGGGAGTAGCATAGGTCTCAGCAAACGGGTTCTGCGCCATCAGCGACTTGGGTGACACGGTCTCGGGAGGGATGCCTAGATCGTTAAGGGTCGGAGAGGAGTAATCCATGGCGAACTGATTTGTTGGACCCGCCGAGTGTGGCGGGAAAGGGTTATGCCAGCCGGAAGACGAGATCGAGAACCGATTGGTTCCATCCATCACGGCCTCGCTGATTCCACTTTGACTGCCAGTACTCATGGCGGAGGGGGACGACTCATCGATCGCGGAGTCGTTGCTCTGACCCAGGGACGGCATGGACGGATCGAAACCGTTCATCCAGTCGAAGCTGAAGTCTTCCTCCAGCATTGGATCAGTGGGGGGTTGCACCTGATGCGAGCCATGACTGAAGGGGGATGACGGCGAGTCATTTCCGTAACCTTGTGGAGAACCACCAAAGTGGAGTTGCGCCGGATTAATCGTAGTGCCATGGTTCATGAAAAAGTCCCCCATGGTCAGATCAAAGCTGCCGTACACAGGAGCGGTGCGAAGTCCACCGGAAAGATCCATGGGCAGACCATGAGTCTCCAGCTTGGGAAGGCTGCTGGCATAGGGATGACTGGAGCTGTACCCGCGATGAAAATCGATATTCGAACCCATAGATATGGAACCCATGCTGGGATGATGAGCATGTCCTGGATGGCCTGTGGCGGTTACCGAGTGATTGGGGTCGTTGTTGGCCATGCCTAGAGAAGCTCCATCAATGTGACTGATGGTATTGGCCCGAGGACGAATGCTATTCGAGTTGCTGGCAACGGAGTTTTTGCGGACACGATTCGCTCCAGTACCAGCAGCTCCGGTGCTTTCTCTCCGAGCATTTCTGGGCCGCGACGACGGAGTCGTGGTCATGTGCAGTTTCTGCTGATGTCTCAAAAGAAGATCCCGGCGAGCAAAGCACCGGGAGCAGTCAGGGCACTCGAATGGTTTCTCCTTGGTGTGCGACCGCTCATGGCGCTTCAGATGTTCTAGCCGAGCAAACGATCGCCCGCAAGTGGTACAGACATGTGGTCGGGGTTTATCAGTTTTGGGAGGAGGGATATTCGTATTGGCACCAGCTTGGCCGTTCGTATCGGTCTTCTTGGTGGTGTCCTTGGAGGTAGGCGCTGACGATTACACCGCATTAGAAGTAGGGTTAGGTATGGGAGAACTTGTCCACAAACTCACCAGATGTGTCCCCTGGAATCTCGCTGATGCTCGCCAGACTGTCCAGCTTGGGGCTACTGCCCAGATCCTGACCAACCATGGCGTCCAGTAACATCCTAGCCAACCAAGGTATGTATCGAAACCAGGGTCAACAGACGCTGGTTCTCAGACGAAGAAGGAGATTCGAACCCGGCCTTATTCTTCGAGACGACCAGAGCGCAGCTCTATTATGCGTGGTGATGCCCGCGTGAGGCTTCAGGCTGCGAGATTGCTTAAGATGAGGATAGGCTTGACATTGACCACTACAGGCAACAAAATCCCGAATTAGCATCAAGCTCAAGAAATACTTCGCCAACTGTTCAGGTCGATCACAATGCCTGTGTCTTGTGTGGTTGTGGTGGTGATTGCAATGGAGGGGGGAACTAAGTTCGGGGACACCCACAGCAAAACAACGAATTCTCGTCAGGTCAGCGCAGAAGGAGATAGAGGGTAAGCGATGAGGATGAAAAGATGAATATTGTTTAAAAGGATGGCCAAAGGCGGGATACAAAGAGTGGCAAAGTGATGCCTGGGGAATCGAGTTCGTGAGCTCTGGGTGAAAGCAGCCTGAATAAGCAGGGGGTTTAAGGTTTCAGGGATCCGGAGACAGTCCCAAGGATAGCAACTCACAGGTAGAGGAGCTGGATATGTAGACGAGATGAGAGTAATTCATTCACAAATATCTTGGACCATTCACTGTGTGGACTTGACAGCGTTTGAGACGAGCTCTTCTAAGAGTACGTAGTTGTTTAGCAGGAGAAAGAGGTATGCGGGTATTCGTCCGATGATGGGCTGAAGCGATGGATAAGCCGGAGATAACCGAATGGAAAATGGGGACGGGCTGGATAATGATAGCTGCGACTCAATTGCTGATAAGGATATTGAGTGGGAACAGCTGCGGAAGTGGACCGTAAGTCACAAAACAAAGAGTGAGCAACGTCAAGATAGAAGAACAGGAAGAATCGATAGAAAGGAAAGAAGGCGGATCGAAAGTAGACAAAGTAAGCAGCCGTAGAGGAACAGCAGTGGAAGTACCACCTAAGACTAACACTTAGGACAAGCAATCAACCCGGGTACGAGCGACTAAATCGGATTGAGATAGGTACTGTGTACTGTGAACTGTGCCACGCCTTTTCATCTAAGCACGTCCGACTAGTGAAGTCTGTACCTTCTCTGTGCTGCAGTCTGTACTCTCTGCTGTGTGTTGAGTGTAGAATTAAGAATAGGGCGTACCTGGTGCTAATAATAAGTAACCACCTTCTTGGAGAGTCTTAGTCGCATCTTACTAAGAGGTGATCCTCTAGAGGGATCAGATTGCTCTTTCCTCTGAGTCTGAGTTGTGAGTACAGTCCACAACTGTATCTATTTACTACTGCCACAAGTATCTACAGTGGGCTCTGCGACTGTCGCGGGAGAAACCAGAACCATGAAACAGCAGACACTCTGTGTTATCGCTCAGTGCCAACCAATGAGTATGAAAGCAGTGGATCACTGACACACTTTCATCGCTAGTGCGACTCCATCAAGAAGCATAGGTACCGGCCTAGTACCAGGTAAGGAAAGTCATGGGGAAGCTGTTCTGGAGCTAGGATCCACTGTAGGTAGGCAGCCTGCTGTACTAACAGCGCTGGGACTTGTAATTGTACCGTCACATCGGAGATCGGCTATCTTTCTTCCTGGGTATCGTCTGAGGGATCTCTTCAGTTTCTATCTCCTATGCATCAGCCGTGAGGTATTTATTAGCATTCCCCATTTCCATATAAGATTTAATATGTTCCAGATTGCTAGTGTGAGGCCTGGACTTGTACCTTGCGCATTTGACCGGTCGGCAGAATATGAGCTGGTCGGAATGTGTCCGATATAGCTACGAGTCTATTAGCTGATTGAGCACAGTAGATACCTGGCAGAATATGGGATGTTTGCTGCTTCCGAGACGGGATGGACTTCAATGGTAATATACTGTTGAAGCCAAGTCTGGACTCATTTCTAGGCCAGTATCATGCAACTAGAGAGCTTATGCAGACGGAGGAGAGCACAAGGTCTCTAGCTGCTCGTCTTGTTTCAATTGAGAGATAATAATAGACATTTACCCATCCTTCCTTACTCTTTATGTTCCGCTTGTGGATACAATATCAGCTAATTGAGCATCTTGATGATATGTTGCAGCTTTGTATCCCAGCAACAAAGGTACCTAGGTACCCTAGTACCTTACCATAACTGTGAGGAATAACTAATGCATAAGGTAGTCTAGATAGAGCGCCACTATTTTGTAAGTTAACTCGAGAATGGCTGATACACCCTCAATACGAAGAAAACATACCGAAACAAGGACGGATGTAACTGCATTAATAATAATGAGACAAATGAGGATAATAATAATTCTCATCGGGGAGTACCCCGGACCTCGTGACTCGCACTACCAACGCACCCAACCGTTTCAGACAATGATCCTCGGACGAAATGGGCGGTGGACCAGGGGTATTAGAAACTGGCAATTGCCCATAGAGCCCATTGGCCATCTCAAATTGCTCAGGAGGCCAGCGGTTAGAGGATTGGATGGGATCTCGGTCGGTACGCTTAGACCTCAGGCTGGGTCCATCAATCCGTGGCTCCTGTGGGTGGCGGAAGGCTCCGCATACATTGCCCCAACGGAACATGGACTAGTCAAGAGCGGCGTAAAATCCGCACCATTCCACGCAGGAATGGACAGGACCATTGGAAATGAAGGAATCGAATTTAGAATGGAACCAGAACCAGGCCAACGCAGAGAATTGCGATTGACAAAGGAAGGTCGGTAACGAGCGAGTCAGAGACACGGAAGTGTAGTACTGGACGCATTTTGTGGGACCGGGGTTATGCTAATCTGGACTAACGGCTGGAGGCTTTTGTGGGGGATTTTCCTGGATCAATGTCATAAGATCCATCCTTTTTGATGATTTGTCGCTCCTTCGGCACTTTACGGTGTGAGTTATATCCGTGCGATCCGTCCTGATGCGAACGAGGACAAGCCTCATTCCTATCCTCGCGTGCCGAGTTCGAGGTACATACTTTGCGGGAATACGGATGGAATCTGTGGAGAGAAGGTCGCTCCTGTCACAGGATCCTTGGTCGCCTCTTCCCCAGAATATTGAATATCCATCTTGAATCTCCATTTCGCAAATCTCCAGCGTTCCGACTGAAGACTTGGCGTAAGCATGGCCGTATTCAGTAATTGAAACCAAGGTCGCACAAAATTCTCCAGAATTACATTCTTCCTCTTAGTGGACGGTTCGATAAGTTGATCGCCTCTATCCCTTGAGCGGGTTCCCCAGGAAATGCTAAGGATTCTAGAAACTGCAATAGGCCGAGCACAGAACATTAACAATGGTCATGCCCACGTTGCAAAGTTCGAAGCTCGGGTTCAGACCTTCTTCCACTTTTCTTTTCCGTCTCAGCCTTTCAGGATCGTGCGCGCTTGGTTCTTATTGGCGGATTGACCCAGCTATTCCCACCTGAGCTCATTTTGTTCTCCAGTTGGCTTTTTGACGCGGTTCGGTCCAATCTGATTTTGACTTTGACTAGATACGGAGGAGGAAGCTCAATCGGGACGGACACGAATGGAGAGAACAAGAAGAGACCCAAGTTAATAGAGACAATGAATTGAGGCTCCAGTGGCAATGGGATGAATTGTATGATTTGCTTGCTTCATATTCATCTCGGTCTGTCCAAGATCTTAGTCATAATCTTCCAGGCGTACCACGCACAGCAATACGGTCTTTGAAATTGAGAACAATTATGGGACAGGATCAGCAAACTGAGAATTGTCACTATCTCCATCCCGTGACGGTCCCGCAGATCTGAGTCACTTCTCATAGCAAAATGCCTCAAAGAGGAAAATGGGGTGGCTGTATCCGCAGGCAGTAACGAAGTTGATTGCTCATCCCACGTTATGACGTCTTAGTGGGAGGGTTCATCTTTGACAGCAGTCTTGAATAACAGCTGCAGAATCAGTTTAATCACAAGAGTATGCGATTGAAACAATCAATCAATTGATCACTTAAAATGATCTCATCTGCAACCAAATGTAGGGAATAGTAACTCTTAATCTTAGAGTTAGTTGGGATGGTCTTCGCACGGGCCTCGGGTGATCACAGAGACACAGACCCTGGACGCCTCAGGCCACTAACAGCGCTGCGGTCCTGCAGAAGCTCGACCGCTGTGAGTCATGTGGCTTTGATTTTCGTTGCCTGAGGTCTCCTACTACATAAGCGCCTAAGCAATCAGCTATCGGCTCTCTGTACTCCGAAGCCTGGAAGCGCCCTTACCCATTACTGTGCTCTGTCCTCAGGCTGTGCTCTTATCGATTGTTGACCACTCGCCACAGATCTACAGAAACTGACTGCACAGGCCACAGGAACAATGAGCATTGTCGATCCCTCATCCTCTTGAGAGGCGGATAACTGTCAAGATCTGACTTCTGAGGGAATTCTCCGACCTCGTGCATATCATTCTACTGTTTCGAGTACTCTGTGGGTAAGTAGCGAAGCGTAGATTAGCTTACTGCACGGTATTACATCCAGGGCCGCTAGATGGTCATTGCTTGAGATGGGGCGCACGATGGCATCATCAGTGACCAGACATTCTGCAACATCACTATTGAAGACTCAAAGCACCTCAACGGGCTGCTTGCGCCATACTGAGCAGGTGCAATACACTATCTGCAACTTAGCTTAGATGGATCGCGGGTACCGTCCTGTCAGTTACCTTTGAAACTTGCGACACGCAGCAATGATTCAACAGGCCCAGCCACAGGATGACCATCTTCTGATGGAACAGCAGGTATCTATCGCGGCCTGCCGCTGCATTGACCAAGTGGGCGGTGGACATCAATCCCTGCTAGCTCTGCGCTGCTCATCGTATCGGCGTATCACAGTCGGAGAAGAGAAGCGTCTAATGCATCTGCTAAGAATTAGTCTGCTTGTCGACACTTAGTGGCGTCAACCTGGCCCCACGTCGCAGCCTGTACCTGTTTCAGTCGACATTATTATCATCTAGCTGAACTGCCTCAGGTCTGTCACCCGGATCATCTCACAATTCAGCATGGCGGTTATACCCGATAAGAACGAGGCAAATGACAGAGGCAGACAAGAAACCAGTTTGCCAGGAGAGTTGATGCCTCCAGCCAGTGTTGTAGCATTTGCTGTCTTGTATGCAGCCAGCGGCCAGCGGCCAGCAGCCAGTCTAGCCTACAGCGGCTGTATGCAACTAGCCATGTACGTGCTTCCGTCCGTGGACCCCGAGCGTCTGCGTCTGACCCGGATTGCATGACTGTCCCTGGGTACGGAGTAGTGTACAGACACAGACTCGACAGCGTCTTGTAGTCACCAGTTGCCACGGTAGATAGTTTACTCCGTGAGCATCAAAGCGAGCCAGACAGAGAACCGAGTCCTCGTATCTCGAATAGTGCGGAATACTCCGACAGCGACGTTGACGATACACGAACAAAGGCCCGTTCCTGGTCTCAGTTCCGTCCTGCCGCTAGTACTCTAGTTAGTTAGCAGGTACTTAATAACTATCTATACTAGCGAGACTGCGATGCTACCTTACCGTGCCGAGTGGATCTATGACGGAGTCTTCTGACAGAGTACCTGCACTCGATAGTCGATAACATCCTAGATGTGTACCAGAGACATAATAACCGACAAGTCTATGCGTCGAATGTGTCTATCACACCAAAGGGCCCATCATCAAGACAGGGATGCATTATACCTGCCTATCCCAACTAGGATAAACCGCCAATGGCAGCAGCACAGTAAGCACTCCAAGTATCAATCCACTACTGCAGAAGCATTGATCACCAACTGCGTTGGCCCGCCGAATGCAAGTAAACATGGCCAAGCGCCTCGCATAGTGTATTTATGATCATCACTAGACCACGCTAGTCACTACAGATTGACTACAGAAGCAGACTAGACTACAGTAAGGTATTCAGGTGCAAGAAATGTAAACCCGGAGAAACGCCGATAGGGAGTATCACTATTCTTGTGCCCTGGGACGGAGACATATGCGTACGGTACGGAGTACTAGTAGTATCGGTGCTGTTGGCGTGCATTAGTGGTATTGATCGACCGAGTGACGATGTGTAGTGGGCGGTGCATAGGCATGGTGTGGGTGTAGCTAAAGCGATGATGGTGTGCAGATTGCAGAGGAGGGCTTTTGGCTGTGGCTCTGGGTCTTGCCACAGGCCGTGATGTGGAGGCGAGTTTCTGATGATGGTTTAGTAGACTGCCGCGAGTCGCTGTATCGATTGTTGTTTTGTGTCACAAGTTCAAGTTCTGTAGTGAAGGGTAACAGTCCTGCCATGGATAGTAGCCAAGGAAAGGTAGTTGATTGACCTCAAACGCCGTATCAGAGCTATCTACATGAGAAGTAGGAAAAAGTACCACTTTTATACCGTTCTATACAAGAAGCCTCTCAAAGGAGTACTTGCCAGCAGCCTTGCGTCGCAGATATCCGATCTCACGGCTACTCCGGGTCTTCACCTCGCCCGTAGACTTCTTCACCTTCGTCTTGCTCACGTCCGTTGTCGGAGCCTTGAGGGACAACGGAAGCATCTTTCCGCTGGCGTCAATGTCGTACCCTTCGTCTCCCTCGGGGAGTCCAAACACCATCAGATCGGCCCCGTTGAGTTTCTCATACCGGACGAGCCCGGAGGATGTCTCCTGATTTCCGGCTTGCTTGGCCACATCGCCCGTCTTGCCCTTGGCGGAGGGATGTGTGAAGCTGTTTGTGAAGCGGAGGTACTCGCGCAGGATACCCTTGAGGTATGTAGCTTCCTCGACTCCCGCGAGCGCAGCGGAGATCTCGGACTTCATGTCGGCGATGAGGTCGAGGTCTCGTGTGCTGGCGTCGTCGATACCTGCCGCGGAGATCCATCCCGAAGGGCCGATGGCGTCGACGGCGGCGTTCAACAGATTTATGATGGTGTCCAAGGAAAGTGAGGGTGTAGTCTGTTCGGGGGAGAAGGGGCTGGGCGGGTTTTCGGTGAAGCGCGAGGTATACCCTCCAGTCGCTAGGCAAAGGCGGAGATGATGGACGATGGAGAGCAGTTCGGATCTGGAGAGGGCAGAGCGGAAGGAGCTGACGATCGTGGGGAAGGGTTGGTTGTGAATCTTCTGCAGGGTGGTGTTGAACCCGATAAAGATATCTTGCAGGCTTGCTTCAGCATTGTGCAAGGTGGCCTCCTTGCTTGTGTGATTCGAGTTCTCATCATCATTGGTCACAGACTTGGTGGCTTCTTCTAAGACCATGGAATGCGACCGAGCCATGGTCAGCAAGACCTTGAGGGCATAGGCGAGCTCATCTGCATTGAGGAGTACCGACCCTTGGAGGACGTCAATGAAGTGATGTAGCGAGCGATCAGAATCGATCACAGCCTGAGTAAATGAACCAGTCGGCAGTGGCGGCAGAATATGCGGCTTCTGAACTCGTCTCAGAGCAATCTCAACACTGCTTAGGCAAAAGTGTCCAAGTTGAATGAGCCATGTGCAGGTCATCTCCGGCCAAATGCCAATGGTCAAGCGGGAGTCTGACATAGCCGACAGCTTGTCCTTGCTTCTTGCTTCTCTGAGAGAAAAGATTTTGGATAGCAAGAAGAGCACCATTTCTGGGTTCACGTAGTGTTGCGCCGCAGGCAAAGCCTTGGGAGCGCCGACTTCGAAGTAATCGAGGACCGCGTCGTCAAACGCAGCGCTATCCTTGGAGTTGGCGGATTTTTCGACCTTCTGTGTAAACTCCTCCCACTTGCTAACCTGTTCAGCCGAAGTAAGACCAAGCGATGCCATGTATTCGGTGCGATTCTTCTTCGAAGATGCATCCGATTGGAACGTGGGTGAGCCAATGCCGCGCCCAATAGCATCAATGAGAAGGCCATCCCTTGGCCGTTTCAGGGAGGAATTAAGGGAACTAATCGACGAGCTCAAATCAAACGCAAACAATGCGTTCCCCTTGATCGCAACAGCGACACCAAGTTTAGCAAAGTAGCTGACGAACACTGTGCGCGACTTCGAGCCACCAGAAGGGACACTGTCCGCTGCGATGCTGCGCTGGATGGATTGATATTGTGTGTCGAACAAAGCGACAATCGATTTGCCAGCGGCAATCACTGATTGAGGAGAGGTGCGCATCAGAGAAGAGAAACTCTCATCTTCAAGGATGAAGCGCGTTGTCACGGTCGGCGCATATTGGGAGAGATCAATGTTGACAAAGCCCTTCTCGAATGACAAATTCAATCCCGCGGACCCGGGATGGAAGTACCACTGCAGAGAGCTGCTATCGAATGTCTTATGCTCATCGATGTCCGGCAAAGTTATCGTTTGAAGATGTCTCAGCTTCTGGCTTTCGTCAAGAATCCGTCCTTCCGAGGGTGCAGTCGAGGGAACAGAGAAAATCTGAACTTGAACATCGCTCAATGCGATCTGCTTCGAACCGGTCGGGTGTGAGACAAGCACCAACACGGAAGGTTCGTCTACTCCAGAGTCGGTCAAATCCCCGAGAGCCATAGCCACCAGATCTTGTCGCCTTTTGAACAGATATCTCTTCGCATCGTCAAAGTCCACCAAAAAGCAGGAATTAACTTCATGGGTTGAGCGAAGCTTCGCGATCTCGGTATGGTTCACACTCCACCGCTGAGTCTTAAGGTCAGACGTCAACCTTCGTACAAGACCATCCTGATGCACAGTCAAGACATCGAATGAGTCCTGTTCATCATCTTCCGTAGGAGCGGTAGGGACGATGCCGACGAAGACCGTAGGGCTGCTCGAATCGCTCACGGAGAATGATGAAGACGAAATGACAGGCGCACTCGATCCAGTGCCCCCAATTTCTTCAACAAAGGCTTGTATTTCTCGTCCAGGTCGGTCCACGGCGACGAAAGTTTGTCTCTTCACAACCGACTTTTTCGTGAGCTTTCTTCGCACCGAGCATGGTCGACAGGAGAAAGAGGATTGCGGTGGAACGGCATAGGAGGTAACGAGTTTGGGGGTTTGTATCTAATGGCACAGATAATCAGCTCATCATTCTCCTAGAATCTTTCATATATATTTTCTCACGTTGTAGATGTTCACAGCCTCCCCATCGACCGCAACAACGACCTCATATCTTTTTCGCTTCTTCGATTCGGCCAAACTATACACTTCGCCAACCTGGGTTTTACCAGTAGAGGCATGCAATGGGCGAGGCAATTGAGCCAGTACTGAAGGTGGCTGCAGATCCATAACGGCAAATAAAGACACAATAATACTCGTGTTGCGCGACCGTTGCCGCTAAGTATTTGAACATACACAGCTTGAACAAATTCATTTTCATATCGCATTCTGAAAAATTTCCGGCATTACGTTGTCCCGAGATCCGGCGCTATCCTTCCTTCGGACTAGGGCTGTCGGTATGGTAAATGACGTACGGCGGAAAACGAATGGCCCGCGCGGGCAAAAAAACACGCGCTTCTTCGCGTTGCACTTTGGCGTTGTCGGTGATCAATCCAGGCTTCAATTGATTGTCTACGTCGTCCAAGTCCAAAATCCCCTCTTAGCTTGGCAACCTTTGCTGTGAAGCAACCAGCATCTCGTTTTGATGTTTTCATCATTCTCTTTCTGTCTTCTTTCGTGTCTCGAGTCATTCTCGTCTAACCCTCAAGCGATGAGCATTGATCCGCTTATCGAATGAGCGCACTGCAGCCCATGGTCATGGCACAAGGCGAGCAGCCAGCTATCCACCCATTTTTCCAAAGACAAAGAGGTTCACGTCTTCCTCCAATGGCTACATCCAAGTTTACTTATTATCAGCAGACCTCGGAATTCCTAGACGCACCACAGAAGATGTCGTTTCATCCCAGAGTCCCCTCGAAAGTGAAGCCAGGTTACCCGTTCAATCCACGGCACGATCAAACACCTCCCTGACGCGCTCTATACCTACTCCGCAATTACTAGATCACATGGCGCTAGAACATGATCCCAATTCGGCACGAAGGAAACGTCGAAAGACGGAGGATGTCAATCAGGGAACACGCGACCCTTCTACTGAGAATGAACTGCATCAAGGCGATAACTCCCTGCTGCTGGATCAGCCCCTCGCTACATTGAATACCCCTAGTGGTAAGGCCCAATTCGCCGCCAATGCCGGAGCCAACAATGCCACTCTCCCGCCTGGTGTTTCAGATGTCGCCAGCAGTGAGTCTTTATCAGGACCGAACTCTGCCTCAGACCTCCACAATCCCGATAGGGGGTTTCCGGACGATGCAAATCAGGCGTTGCAGTCACGTTCCCCGCCACAGAAAACCATGAAACTCACCGCTAATGGGAAACTCCTGAGTTCGCCTGTCGCGAAGCAATCGGATGATACCCCTCAGAAGAAGAGAAGGAGCAAACGTACCAAAGCAGGAAGCCAAGGGCCGGAGCAGGGCAAGAAGAAACTGGTGGTCCTGAAGTACGCCAGCGAACCCGACAAGACCAAAAATATTGGGCAGCTCATCGATAAGATTATCTGCGGCCAAACAAAGTATATCCCCTCCAGGGCAACTGTTCCACCTGTGCCAGTTGCGCAAAAACCGCAACCTCCGAAACCTACGCACCCGTTCTTCTTGAAACCTGCCCTGCGCAAACCAGACCCTTGCGCTGAAACTTTACCCCCGTCAAATCTCAGCCACGGAATACCCGGCACGCCATCAATACCAGAGGCAAAGCTTGATGTTACCAGGTCTGCCAGCCGGCCGGTGCTTTTCTCGTCATTCAGGCCGCGCCCAAAGTTCCCTGAATCAATCCACCCGGTTTGGCCTCCTAAGGGCCTTGGTCACGTTCGAGGCATTCCCGGGGTTTCAGATCGGCAGAATGAAGATTTGTCTTATTCTCTGAATATTGATCAGAAAAAAGCAAAAATGGCTGCGGTTCAGGTACTTGACGAGGAAAACATACTCCGTACGTGGACAAATTTGAATACGAATGTCCCGACAGCCTTACGTTTACCTCAGAGGCACACAGCGAGCGGAAGGGATCTACAGCAAGCAATAGTACCTGAGCTTTCCGAATCCACCTTTGCTGATGGAACGAATTTAATTGTCAGTCATCCTGCCATCTCAAGAGTCTTCTCGTCAATTCCACAATCTTTGACTGCTTTCGATCGAGGTGAATACGACATGGACTTGTGGACTCAAAAGTATGCTCCTGAGTCTGCAGCCCAGGTTCTTCAGATGAGCAAAGAAGCAATGATGCTACGGGACTGGTTGAAATATCTTAGGATATCTGCCGTGGATACAGGAAGACCTGCAAAAGACATTGAGAAAGCCAAGGAGAAGGGTGACGATAAAAAGCGGAAGAAGAAGCCCAAGAAGGCAGACCAGCTTGACGGATTCATTGTCAACAGTAGCGATGATGATTTTGAAATGAGCGAGGTTACTGCATCCGACGATGACGAGTTAGCCGGTGGAGTAACAGTCTCTTCCAAAAAAACTGTCATTCGGTCGGGTGACTCGGACGGTGTTTGGAGATCCGGCGCAGGAAAACACCGTACGGCCAATGTAATACTCCTCAGTGGTCCTCCAGGATGCGGTAAGACTGCCTCCGTGTACGCAGTGGCCAAGGAGCTTGACTTCGAAGTTTTCGAGATCAACCCTGGTAACCGACGAAGTGCTAAAGACATCCTGGAGCGTGTCGGTGACATGACACAGAATCATCTTGTGCATAAAGTGACCGCGGGTGAGGATACTTCAAATAATCCCTCGCTGGGCGTTGGCGTTGAGGCTCCGGCACCAGACGAAAGCAAACAGAACAAGCTCATGGGGTTTTTCAAGCCTGCTGCTGGGAAGAAACCCAAGAAGGACAAGAAAGCCGGTCAAAAAGATTCGCAGCAGGAGAGCGATTCAAAACGGGCACGGAGTCAGAAGCAGTCCCTCATTCTTCTAGAAGAAGCGGATATCCTCTTCGAGGAGGACAAGCAGTTTTGGTCCGGCGTTATGGCCCTCGTCAGCCAGTCCAAGCGTCCCATCATCATCACCTGCAACGATGAAAACCTCATCCCTCTTGAAGAAATCTCCTTTCATGCGATCCTACGGTATAAGCCGCCACCCCAGCGTCCTGCTGTGGACTACCTTCTAGTCCTCGCAGCAAACGAGGGTCATATGCTCAAGAGGGAAGCTGTCGACGACCTATACCTGGCTACGGGAAGGGATCTTCGGAGAACGATCATGGATTTGAACTTTTGGTGCCAGATGGCCATCGGAAGCGAAAAATCAGGGTTGGACTGGATAATAGATCGATGGCGAAAAGGCGCAGAGATTGATCAGGATAGTGACCCATTGCGGGTCGTGAGTCTGAATACATATGAACCCTCTATGGGCTGGTTCAGTCGCGATATGCTGTTGGACAACACACTCGACAGCCGCATTGAGTCAACACAAGAATTATTGCACTGGTGGCAAGTTAGCTTGCAAGAAACAGAGGAAATGGCGGACTCGAGCTCTGAGAATGTGTCCTCGGCAGGGACAACCAACTTTGACGCCACAAACCTCCAACGTCTTCAAAGGTTGGAGCTTCAGTCTGACTATGCCGATCTGCGGAGCGTTCTGGATGTACTTTGCGCTCGATGCTCTCTCGACCAAAAACTGGTACGTTCTGTTGACCTGGAAGACAATTCCAAAACTGATTACCAATTTCCATAGGACTCGATTGATAACACAATACCTGCTATGTCTGAGAAGCAAAGAACTAACTATGTCGAGGGTTATCCACTGCTGCAGGCAGATCTCGTGCCCGATTACTCTTCCTTTCTGGCCAGCATTGGAAGTACATTCGAGGTCTTTATAGGTCAAACTTTCCGAGACGAGCAACAAAAAGATATTGAAGCTTCTCAGGCACGGAACGTCTTGGAGACTGTTGTCGCACCGCGGCGTGCCGGCACATCCAAAGCGACTTTTCTAACAGCGTTTGAGCCTCTCAGGCGAGCCGATCATCTTTTCCCTCCCCCTCCAGGCCGGCTGGCGCCCTCGTTTGAAAATAGGCTTAGGCCCCTCTCTGAGGACCTAGCTCCGTATGTCCGTGCTATAATGGCGTTCGACCTTCGTCTAGAGCAGTACCGACTACAGCTGAGCGGTCTCCTCTCCGAGAACGATGGTGGAAAGAGAATGCGAAAGACAAGGGCAAGTCGAGCGGCCCTAGAAGGGGGTAGCAAGGCAGAAACACGAAAAGAACGATGGTTTCCGCCTGGTACAAACCCAGCGTTGATTCTAGCTACAGGGGATAAGGAGTGGCAGGATCTCTTGATTCGAACCGGGCATTTTACAGTGACCTCGATAAGAGAGTCTAGCAAGGAGTGCAGCGATCTTGCGTCAGAGAGCTCAGGTGATGGCGGGATTTAGGAATGTACACCATCGAACATGACGTATATTAGACATGATTTATATATATGTGAACTACAAGGGCCCCTATGAGTTATGCTGTATCTATAAATATATCATCGCTGGCGATGGAGTTTTCTAATCCAAAGTGCATGATCGGTGACACTATCCCCATGTATGTACAGAGTACCAGCGTTGTTTATCGTCGGCCTCGAATAACCGACTAGTGCGCGCTCTGCGGTGGATCCACCAAACAACATCACCAGCGGGCCCCAGGCTCCATTCAGCTTCATGCTCTCGACCCCTTATCACAGGAGGAGAAGCAGAGCTTAGCTGGCACTAATCTGGTTGTTGAATCCCGACTTTTATCTCAATTCCATTCTTGGGGTTGTCCATTGACTTGCAGACGGCGATTGCTTTTGTGGCCCTCGGTGGTGGCCGCCACTTATCTCTCTCCCAGCCTCCGACCGAACTCCGCTCCCCAAACCTGGAACTGGGACCATCGCCAACGAATCCGTGACGCATCGCACACTCGAGCTTGTCCATAATGTCCTTATTTGGGACGTCGCCAGAAGATCCCTCTATGGGTGATTCGGTCCACCAGAGGTCCAGGTCTTCGCTTTTTGCAGATGAGCCTTCGTCCGGTGGAGCTGGAGCTGGCAGCTCCGCCAACCTGGGCTCGTCCTCCCTCTTCGCCGATGACGACGGGTTCCAGTCGAGCTCGCCCTGGAATAGCAACGCGAACAAACGAGCCGCCAGACACGAGCTCGTGAAGACTTTGCTGCCCGACGCGGATGTTCCCGAGAGCTATATTGACGCATATGACCTTGTGCTTAATGAGGGGGACCGTGTCGGGGGCGTTGTGGGCTTGACCTCTGTGCGGGAGATACTGTCGAGCAGCGGGCTCAGTGCCAGCGACCAGGCCAAGATATTTAATCTCGTTGTTTCAGGGGATGGCGATAGCGCGAACGGGCTTGGTCGGGGTCAGTTCAACGTCCTCCTAGCGCTGATTGGCCTTGCGCAGGAAGGGGAGGACCTTACGTTTGATGCGGTAGATGATCGACGCAAGAGTATAACGCCTTTACCATTATAGTCTCGTCTGAACGTTTGCTAATGCCCTTATAGAGCTTCCGCTACCGAAAAGTTCCTACCTTGACAGACTGCGCGACAGGCAACAACCCTCTGCACCTTCTCATCCCGAAGAGCGGCCCACCACTCCTCCCCCTCCTCCCACGGCCATAAATGATCCGCCTTCCGCGCGCTCGCGACAGTCCAGAGAAACTTTGGGTGGTTTGGACGCTGATCCATGGGGTAGCCCCCAACTACACCGCGGTCATAACCATGCGCAAACCGAACCCGAGCCCCCAGTCCTCAACGGCTTTGGAAGCGTGCGATCGGCGACCATTGCCTGGTCTAGCAGGGCTGGCGAGGATGAGACACAACATGAAGTACCGAGCGGTCCCCGTGTCAACGGGCGGACAGACGGTGTGCCCTCCACCAGCTCCGGGTCTGGATGGGGGGAGAGTTATGGCAATACAACAGCTGGTGATGGCTTTGGCGGACCGGTCCGAGCTGGACTTGGAAATCTCGGTGCCCCCAGTAGTGGGCAGGAAGAGTCCAATGCCCGACGGCGATCGGGCATCGGCATCTCTACGAGTTCACAAGTGGAGGAGACTGTGACAGTTAACCTGCTCCCTGAGAAGGAGGGCATGTTCATGTTTCAGCACCGCAATTACGAGGTGAAATCGGCCCGTAGAGGCAGCACAGTGATTCGACGATACAGTGACTTTGTCTGGTTATTAGATTGTCTGCAGAAACGATACCCATTCCGACAACTTCCTTTACTTCCACCCAAGAGAATTGCAGGTACGTCAGAGCACAGGCTTGCTACAAGCTCTCCTCAAAGCTTACTCACCTATTTCCGTTTGAAGTCAATGGCACTCACCTTTCAGCGGATTCAAACTCGTTCCTTGAGAAGCGGCGCCGAGGCCTCGTGCGGTTCACCAACGCACTCGTTCGTCATCCTGTTTTGAGCCAGGAGCAACTCGTGGTCATGTTCTTAACGGTTCCTACGGTGTGTAGATCGGCCTGTATCAATGGCAACGAGAAACTGACTTGCAGCTAGGAACTCTCGGTCTGGCGCAAACAGGCCACGATCTCGGTACAAGACGAATTCACGGGCCGAGTCCTCCCTCCTGATCTCGAGGACTCATTGCCTGCTAATTTGACGGATATTTTTGAGACGGTTCGTAGTGGCGTGAAGCGCTCCGCCGAAATCTACATCAACTTGTGCACACTGCTCGAGCGATTAGCCAAGCGTAACGAGGGTCTCGCCGCGGACCACTTGCGGTTTTCGCTCGCATTGCAGTCACTCACAGAAGTGACTAAGGACACATACGCTGTGGATACCAACGATGTTCCTATACTCAACGAGGGCATCATGGCTACGGCCAGGCACCTCTCCAACAGCCAGAGTTTGTTGGAGGACGAAGCCAGGGCATGGGAAAATGGCATACTGGAGGACTTGAAGTTCCAGCGGGACTGCCTTGTCAGTGTGAGAGAGATGTTCGACCGACGGGACCGATACGCACGTAACAACATACCTCAACTGGAGCGAAGGATTGAAAGCAACGAGCGGAAGCTGCAGGAATTGCGGGCACGCCCTCAAGGGGCGGTGAAACCCGGGGAAATTGAGAAGGTCGAAGAGTCGATATTCAAGGTATGACCTTTTTTTTTTACTTTTCCTTTGTCTTTTCCTTCGCTCTAGACCATATTTTTGCTTTTTCCTTTGCCGCGTCTGCTTCCTTTGATTGCCATCTTTTCTTCTAACACGATGCTTTGCTGGCACTGCAGGATAAGGAATCAATTGTGCAGCAACACGCGAGAGGAGTCTTCATCAAAGAGTGCATCCGAGATGAGCTGGTACACTTCCAGCGGAGTCAGTATCACATCAGCCGACTTCATCAGGATTGGAGCCAGGAGCGAGTGAAATACTCCGAGCTGCAGGCCGACAATTGGCGGTCATTGAGTGATCAGGTGGAAGGAATGCCTTTGGGCGAGTGATGCGAGAGTTGTTGCTTTATTTTTCAACTGTGTCTACCCAGCATGTCTATTATTTTGCTGTTGCTCAGCCTGTCGCTATTGGATAGTTTGATTTCCTTTTCAGTATGCTTGATCGATGGACCTTTTTCAGTCTGGACCTGATGATGACTGTGTGATCATTTTGAGTACGGTATCTGGTAAGGTAGTGGTTTGCCTACCATTGTTGATGCGTGTGATATGTCCCCTGTATGCATGGCAAGGTAATTGATTCCGATCCGAGCTGCCGCGATCTCTCAGTTTCTCTCTGGCTTTGTACCCTACGCTCAGGCGCTTTATGGGTTTAGTGCTCCGCTAGTGGGAACAGGAACGCCCCGGCAAGGACCGGATCAATACAAACTACCCTATCAGGATCAAGTTTGACCATCAACATCTCCAATGGGACTACTCCGTACAGCTTTCCGCCTTCAACGGTCCCACCAATACACCAATCTAAACCGCATTTCCCGCCGGCTGCCCAGAGTGGAGAACAGTTGTAGCCAATGATACTGAAGCATCTTGGGCAGCCTTGCAAGGCTGGTGCAATTGATTTGATGTTCTAAATCTGAGACGAATATTCTAGAGTGGCTGGGTTCTTTTACAGTACTACTTATGAGTAGATACGGTATGCATAGGACTCAGTAAGGTAGATATTGTGTTATTGAAAGCGTCTCAGAGATTGCCTTGTTTGCAATTGGAAATGATACATCCGGAGGCCCACGCTATGCCTGGGAATGTTGTACTACCTATCACGCCGCCCTAATATAGATCCCATGTGGCTCAGCGACACAAGGTAGGTACCTTAGGTACTAGGTACGTAGTGTAGAAGCAGATACTGCAGGTGTCATTGTGAATCGGTCTGAGTCTAATACGATCCTTTCAGCAATACTTTTAACTCTGTCTATTTATGACTTATGTTTCTCTGAAAGACAAAAGACTACTCCGTACCTAAAGTATTATTGTCTTATCAAGACCAAGCCCGACTAATCTGCCAAGGACAGAAATTGTTCGTTCCGCTTTGGGTCTGGTGGGGCGACAAGAACGTGAATGACGAATCGCCGCATCCCCCGCCGGGTCCTCAGGCAGTAAGGCTGCCAGTGCCGCCCCCGTCATCATCCTCAGCTTTAGCCTTTTTGCTTGCGCTTTTCCTTTCATTTCTTCGGCAAACTCGCTACAAACAAAGGAGAAGAGGAAAAGAAAAAGAAAATATCTGTCCTACCACCAGCCAGATTTATGTTTGACATTGACTCGTCTTCCCCGGATCAAAGCAAACAGTGAGCACTGGTCGTTATGAAATTCCCGGTTGTGGTCTTGGGTTCCGTCGTTGTCGTCTTGGCTCTGGGTCCTTGAATTTGCCCGCTTCCTGGTGAGTTGCGTCTGCCCAGCGTCTTGTCTTTTCTCCATTTTCTGTCTCTTATCCTCTCTTGTCTCTTTCTTGTCGTCGCTTGTGCTTGCTTGGGTCTGTTTTTTGCCCTGTCCTTTGCCTCCTTCTTTACTTGTTGTTTCCTTTCTATTCTTAGGGTGAGTACAGACGATTAGCGTGCTTTCCAGGTTATCGATTTCCTAAACTGGTAGTCCCTGCTTCTCTTCTCTTACTTCTGTTACTGGCACTTGGCCGAGAAGTGTTCGGATTTTTGGTCGACGTTCCTTGCCTTTCCTGTTGGCACTATTTCTCTCCGTTCATCTGTTGCTTATCTTATCCTAGTTGCTCAACCGTCTACTGTCGCAGAACAAAGAGCTGACGAAAACCGCAAATAGGCACAGGAAAAGACCTCGTTCGACCGTTTTAGCCGTTCACTATTCCCGAACATCCTTCGTTCATTCCTCTTCATTCCTCTCAGAAAGGTATGCGGAGAAACGGGATTACGCAATCCTGGTGCGGAGTCCATATCTGTAATTGCACGTTCAATCAGTTGGAGAACGTGGAGATAATTGCTACCCGCATAGGGATCAGAGAAAGCAACTAAACTTACAGGAGGAAGCGCTGAGTAATTATGGCGTGGCATCACTTGGACATCGATAAGCCACACCTGGCGTACATGATCCTCGGCGGCTTCACCGGGCTGTTCATGCTTTGCTCGCTCTTCGTCAAGGAGAAACTATACATTGGTGAAGCAACTGTGGCCACGCTGTGTGGTATCATCTTTGGCCCTCATGCCGCCAATCTGTTCAACCCTGCCGAATGGGGCAACGTCGACAAAATCACCCTCGAATGTTCGCGCATTGTCCTCGTCGTTCAGTGTTTCGCCGTCGGCGTCGAATTGCCCAAAGCGTATATGGAACGTCATTGGAAATCTGTCACTCTTTTGCTCCTTCCCGTGATGACTTGGGGCTGGTTGGTCACTAGTCTGTTCATTTGGTGGATGGTACCTCCTCTCAACTGGCTGGAAAGTCTCGTATGCGCTGCTTGCGTGACAGCTACCGACCCCGTCTTGGCTTCTTCGGTTGTCGGTAAGGGTAAATTCGCCAAGCGAGTTCCCAAACATCTGCGAGATCTTTTGTCCGCCGAGTCCGGCTGCAACGACGGCATGGCCTTTCCGTTTATCTACCTCTCGTTCTACATCCTGCGCTATCGCCCTGATGCAGGAAAGGTGTCGCTCAACTGGTTCTGTGTGACGATTCTCTATGAGTGTATCTTTGGCGCAATCTATGGTTTCACCATTGGATATATTGCTCGCCATGCCATCAAGTTTGCCGAGCGTAAGCAGTTGATTGATCGCGAGAGTTTCCTAGTCTTCTATTTCGTGCTGGCCGTGTTCTGCGCCGGCTCTGGAAGTTTTCTGGGCATGGATGATCTTCTGATAGGCTTTGCTTGCGGCGTGGGCTTCAGCAACGATGGCTGGTTCACTGAGAAGACCGAGGAATCTCACGTGTCCAACGTCATTGACTTGCTTCTCAATCTGGCCTACTTCGTCTATTTCGGGTCTATTATTCCCTGGGAGGACTACAACAACCCGGATATCGGCCTCGTGCCCTGGAGACTCGTAGTCATCGCGATCCTGGTCATCTTCTTCCGCCGGATTCCGATCATGATGCTACTGAAACCAGTCATTCCAGACGTCAAAACGTGGCGTGAGGCTCTTTTCGCTGGCCATTTCGGACCCATCGGTGTCGGTGCCATCTTCGCCGCAATTCTAACCAGGGCTGAACTCGAAACCGATAGCACTCAGCCGTTGCCGGAGAAAGATCTGCCCAAACCAGGGTCCCCCGACTATTATATAGTGCAGCTGATCTGGCCTATCACCACCTTTATGGTCATCTCGTCCATTTTGGTCCACGGTTCATCGATCGCCGTTTTTACCCTTGGAAAGCGTATCAATACCTTGACCGTCACGTTGTCGTACACGACCGCCAACGAAGAGGGTCCCTCTTGGATGAACCGACTACCTCGCGTACAGTCGTTGGCCAAAGGGTCAATGTCCTTCCGCAAGACCGACGCAGACGAGTTGGGTGATTCGTCCACTGAGCCGGAATTCCCTCCTGGAACTCTTCCGCCGATTGGCGTTCCCGGTAACTTTTTGCGACGGGTTCGTGAGGAGGAATCCGAGACACCCACCGGCCGACCCTCTAGCCGCAAGACTCGAAGACGCCGTAGGCGGGATGATGGAGCTGGAGGTCCGATCAGCCAGTCAGCCATTATGCCTCAAAGGCCGGCCGAGGCTGCTGAGGAGACTGAGAAGGCTGGTGAGGAGACTGAGAAATCAAAGGAGGAAGCCGAGGAGCGGGAGAAGATTGAACGGGGAGGATCTCCACCGAACCATGAGCGTGATCGGTTTGGCCGGGAACCTGTCTTAGAGGTGTACCTGGAAGGCCATACGATGGTCATCGAAGACGAAGAAGGCAATGTCTTGAAGACAGAAGATATCAGTCATAAATCGCCCGAGGAACGGCAGCAGCACGTTGAAGAACAAAAGCGGCGGCTGCAGAAGGATAAGTCAGGCGAATTGTCCAAATCCCGAAGCCAGCCTCATGAGAAGACGGAAGGGGAACAAATCCAACATGCAGTGGGAGCTGCGGCCGGGCCCCCGCTAGGAAAGGCTCGCAAACAGTTCGGCAAATGGGTCGGTTGGGGCAAAGGCCGCGGCGAACAAGCGGAAAGCAAGGAGGCGAAGAAAGCTGCGGAGAAGAAATCGACCGAAGAATCCGGCAAGCCGGCCAAGCGCAAAGCTCGCTCGGCTCACGCGTATCAATTCGGCAATACCATTATCGTCGAGGATGAGGATGGTGAAGTCATCAAGAAGTACTCCATTCCCGCCGCTGGCAAGGCCGAAGGCGGAGCCCCTAGCCGCCGCGGCCTGGGACGAATGGGAACCTGGTTTGGTAGAGACGGCGAGGCGGAAACCTCGCAAGCTGCACAGAGCAGGAAGACAGCCGAGGACGAGTGGCTAGCGGACGATGGACTGCGGTTCACCCTGGCCAACGACGACGAAGTCGGTAAGCGAGGTGTCGGTCACAAGGGCCGTCGCATGACGAAACATGAGTTCGCCGAGCAGATCAAGAACCTGGGGCCCAAGGCTCGTCGCCAGTTGGTCGAGGAGACTGACGTTCCTGAGCGTGTGAAGAATGTGGCTCGGGACGAGGCCGAGCAGCGAGAATCTCTCCGAGCACAACCTGTTGACATGCCGGTATCGCCTGGCACACAGGTAGAGACCCGCGGCATCGACCAGTTTGACTCTGACAGCGAGACCACCGACGATGAATCGGTACAGGACATTCCCGGGCCCGACGTGGCTGCTTCGCTCGCTAGGGTGACTCGAGGCTCGGCTGCACAGGAGCGACGCAGTCACCTGGAGCCGTCCGACTCGCCTTCCAGGCCTCGTCCGCGGTCGAGAAGAGACTCCGAAGACGATGGTACCGAGCGGATCCCGCCAGCTCGCCTCCGAGAAGCAGCCGGTCTTGCGCCTCCCCCGCAGGAAGCCGACTTGGACGACACGGGTGAAACACCGGCAGAGCGTCGTCGTCGTCTGGCGGCCCTGGGAGAATTGCACAACGACTCGGACTCTGATGACCCGGAGGCCGCAGTCGAAGACACGGACAGCGATGACAATGGTGAATTCCGCCAAGTGCGAGGAAGAGTTCAATTTGCGGATGGCTCTCGGGCATCTCCGCGAAGAGACGATGCTGGAATTGTAAGCGGACTTCCGTCGGCGTCGCCGGACCAATCCCCGGGTCGTAGGGGACACCGTACACGCATTTCATGGGGAGGAGAGAAAGGTCGCGAGAGTTGAAGTTATGCCGAGAAGAAGAGTAGAAAGCGAGCGCAAGCAAGGCGACAGGCCTTGCGGTGTACAAAGCCGAGGAATAGGATCTAGAATCTTGTCTGTTATTACTCATATGTCGACTCAGCATTGGCGCCGAGTTGATTGTCCATACGCCTATCTTGGTTGTTGTATATAGCGGCGTACTCGACGTTGTGTAATGTTTGATTCCTCTTCCTGTCTTGTCTGGTTTGGTGCATCGACTATTGAGTGGCTGGATATAGTCTTGTTAGCTTGCGTCCACTTTCAATAGTACATTGTCTCCACATTACCAATAGACACCATTATAAGGAGTAGACATATCATTTAGTCGTAATCATATAAGTTTGCTTTCCTGGTACTCTTGTGTTGCCTTTGTCTTCTTTGCAATCGAACTCACACATCGGTGCACAAAGTCTCCTTGCATAGCACAGCATATTAAGAAAGCTCAGGGTAGTAGTAGGTCTCCCTCGCGCCCTTTCATCATAAAAATAAATTTGCATGTCCCATTGCAAATAGTCTTGTCTTTGTTTGCTACTTTGTAGAAATGATCATTTCTCAACAGCTGGCATTCTCTGAACTTAAGAATTGATAATACTCCATTTAAACGTCTCTACCTAAATCAAGGCTGGTAAATACTGGACGACAATCAGACCAAGATAGTTTTCCAACAATTGAGGCACTCGACTAAAGTGTCTAGACGATCATTTGGCATAGCAGAAATAGTAGCGCAATACGGTATCAACAAGTCCGACCTCCGGTCCGCATATCTCTGTCTGGTTGTCATATCATTATATCATTACATTGTCACTGACGCTCTAATAAATCTACATCATGATCAAGTCCGAGAAAACACCACACACAGGGCACTGACCCTGCTACGCTCCGAGACGCGGAATCTACACATTTCCTGTATTCGGAAGTAATCCTGAGCCTCCCAGTCCATATCCAAGACCTTCCCTTCCACATCCACCACGCTGACTATCGGATTCCCCGCCCGCGATAGAGGGAGAAGTAGCAGATCATGCTGTTTCCCAATTGTCGAATCCCCGGGAAGCAAAACAATGATGTATGCATCGCGATGAGGAGGAGCACGCTCGGGTAGGCCAGTACCCTTAGATCGTCAGATTTCCGATTTCCCGCTCGTCCACAGAGGAGGGTAATACCGTTTGGTAATCTGCGATCAACTCGCTCACCAGTGGCGAGCAGACAGGGGGTACGTCGAAGAGGACCGCCGAGAGCAGAGTCTGGCGGATCCCCATCATGCTTGAGATGACATCGTGTGCGTTCTGAACGTGGGTTATTAGGTTTTCTGGCAGACTTCGTCGGCTGAGACCGCGCAGGCCGCTGCTTTCCATGTTGCTGGTATATATCAAGGTTGATAGGGTTTGGAGATGCAATCGCTGACTTGGTGAGGACGTATTGTGTTTAGTACTCTGTACTACGTCTCTACGTCATAGGTACCGCATGTCACATGGTGGAAAGACTTGTTGCTGACTCGCTGCATCTATTATTATTAGAATTAATATAGACTTAACTAGTAATCATCAGATTCTTGATCTTGACTTTTCTCTTGCTGCTAACTAATTGCTAAATTGATGGGCTGTCCTTCTGGTATAACTTCATAGGCTTGACGCTTAGACTTAAACACTATTAGGGCTAAATAGGGCGGAGGAAGAATATTACCGTAGTAATAAGCAATAAACTACAAAGAGTATGATAGAGGCTGACTTTATAGTACCTACCGTAGGTAGTGACTAGTAATCCCACCCTATCATCATTTGCTGTAGGCTACAATGATGTAGTGTGTATTTCCTGCTGCTTGACCAATTCTCCCGCTTCTTGCCGTTCCTTCCGTCGTACTCGCCGGCACCAGATACAGGCCCAAACACACGACGCAATAAGCGCTACACCAATAATAGGAACGCCTATCATTATAAATCTCATAATAGGTTCCCAGCCTGGCATATCCGACCCGTCACTGCCCCTGTCGTACATGCCTGGCGGGATGATCTCCCCCGGCACCCACGTAGGGACGACCATTGAATTTGTTAGTAGGGGTAGCGATGGTGACATTGTGTTGGTGTCAGATGCCGCCCATGAGATTGCCCATGCCTGGTGTACCTGGATTCCATCAGTGAACAGGACCCGCGTGCCCTGGCCGTGTGAAAGTGTCCCGGTGATTGTTGTCTCACCGGGGGTGATTGTACGGTAGCATGATGCTTTGATGTCCTTGAGATTGGAGAGATTCCTTGATAGAGAGAAGCCACTGTATCCAAAAAAGTCAGCCTTGGCTATCTTGCTCAGTTGTAAGATAAGGATGGGGGGCATGGTGGGCCGGCCGGGTCAAGTTGGGTAAACAGGAGTTGGAAAGCCAGACCTGGAGCAGCAGTATGCAGTTGAGTGCGTATAGACGTGTTTCCTATCAACAGGATATCTTTCTGTTGCCATCTCATGGTATGTCCATTCGCTGGGGCACACGGCTGGGCTAAATGAAAAGCGGCTAGCATCCTCATTGCTGTCCCATCCTGGTGGTTGGCAAGTTGTGAATCGCTCATCTGCAGGGTCTGACACCAGAACAGTCGTATGTATGATGGTGTCATTGATCCATATTGAGGTACTGGTTATATCCCAAATAGAGGTGCATTCAGGGAGCTGTACAAAGGGTGTTATGATAGCTAGAAGTGAGGTTACAGTTGCAATATTTGTACTCGAAAAGCTTGTCTCACTGGCAAGTAGGTCGGCTGCGCCAACACTTGCCATTAAGGCTAAGACTGAGAACCTTATTATCATCGAGGCGGTACACATGGATATAGTGCAGAAAGGAGAAGTGGAAGATGTGCGTGAACCATACTGGGGGAGAAGAGGGGGAAGTTCTTTTGTTTTAAGATCCATACTGGTAACAAGGCTAATTAGAAAAGAGTAAAGGGTCCTGATAAGTCGTCTAATCGACTAGGATATGCAGGCTTGATAATAACAGAGGAATGCATAATATAATTAGTAAACAAATGCATGTTATCACAAGCTAGACTATAGTCATAAGGGACTGAAGTGGGAATGCTAGAGAGGAGAAAGAGAGAAACTAGGTTTATATATTAACTTAGCAGTGCTAACATAGAATTCCCTAACCTAGTCGCACATGGACATGGCCATCTTTGTTACCTCAGGTAATTTAAGTCAAAATGACCTCTAGTCACGTATGCCAGATTATTGTAAGGGCTTAAGGCAATCCTCTAATGATCTTTAGGACCCTGGATATTGGCTAAGTTTCACTTCATCTCTATCTGTCATGGAGTTCTGATAGGTTAGGGGTGGTCGATGCTGTAACCCATAATAAGGGCATCTGTAGTATAATACCGCTACACTTAGAAGGTGTCCGGACGATGTACTCCTCATCTTGGCAATGTAACACCATGCCTGCGCCACTATATCGGTTGCATATTAGTGAGACACTATATCTCACCAGTAGTGACTTATTATCCTTGTGCCTGCTCTCTCCACAACATTCATAAAAGGCTTATGACTCTAATATTATGCCCTCATCTCCTCTTTTCCAAGTAACGTTCTTGCGTCCGCCTTTGAATGGATAGCAGAATTGCAAGAATGGTAGCATGAATATAGAATTCAGATTCCTCTGGTGAGTAGTGACTCAGCCTGTTGAGCTGAGTCCACTGTGGTGTGATGGTTTGGCCATGCCCATGACTGTTCCAGAGCCTAGTGGCTTGCTACTAGTCTTATAGTTCAATCTACTCTTTTAGCAAATAGAGCACAATGTGACCTCCTTATTATGGTGTAGCATGGCTTTTAATCATGCAGGTGTCAGTCCTAATGGCTAAGTGGGAATAGGTTAGCCTACGTTAGGGCCACACGACTATTATAACAGATGACTTTGAAGCTACAGTTCTTAGGCCTAAATTAGCGTAGTCTACAAATATAGATTCCAGTCACATATGGGATACTCCCCTAATGATCCAAATGACCACTTCACAAAGGTATGATTAATAGTTTTGGGAAACAACGCAGTTGTTCAGAGATGTGGATGTCACCTCAACGCTTGGGTCTCCGGGCTTCGTGCTGGTAGCGCATCGATTGCGCATGAGCACGAGGCTGAAACAAGCCACCATGCCAGTTGTATGTGACGGGAATGCGCAACGACATAATGCGCGATCCGAGGACCGGGAGTTTGGGGCGCGGGCGTTTGCAGTGGTGGAGACTCTGCTGGATCGGGGTTTGATTGACGCGCATCCGGTTAAGGTGCTGAATGAAGGTCTGGAGGGGGTTATTCGGGTATGGTTCGTCGTGAGGCTGCGTCTGGTCAAAAGCTTGTGTATACTGTCCCGTGAGTGATGGTTCTGGTGATAAGAAGCCTTAGCTTTGTCAATATCTTTTCTACAACACCCAAAGATGGTCTGTAGACTACCGTTGTGCATAACGCCGTATCCGTATTCTTCCTCTACTTGGCATACTTTTCTTGCCTTTTGATCAGGCGTCATCTCCAATACGTTATCCTCTCGGATATGGCGTTCAACCTGGGAAAGAAGACAAGTATGCTTAGACTGCCCTCCATATTTCTCTCTAGGGTCTATCTATTAGGAAGTTAGTGAACAAAATATATGGATCACATGCTCTTGCCTCTAGAGAATTTCTAACTGGATTTATGCGTCTCCCACGACTTTGCAGGGAAGGTTGACATCTTTTAACATATAGTCTAGCTTTCCTCTTGACACTCTCTGCAGCTGGTGGGTGGGTCAGTAAATAGAGAACTTTCTATGACATTTCGGTAACTCTAGTCGGTCTCTTGAAATAAAATAGGTATGTAGAGCTTTGTGCCTAGCAGTGATACATAAATTGAATATTCCTAATACACAAATTACCAGTAGTATCGTACTACAAAGCCATATAATGTCATCTGATCATCAAGCAGGAGCCTGTACAACTGGAACCGACTCTGGAGGAACCTTTTCAGTGGTCTTACCACCATCGTCAGAGGTCACGCTGGCACGAGTCGAGTTGGTATCTGAGGCTGTGCTGAAACCTACCACTCCGGACTCGGTTCCTGACGCAGTTGATGGAGCTGGAGATGGTGCCGCAGCTGGTTCAGGTCTCTCCTTTGCGCCTGCAATGCCTGTCATGATGTCCTTCAGGCAATGAAAACACAGCTGGGCCCCAGCGCTCCCTCCAATGAGCGCAGTAGGATGACACCGACGCAGCGGGTCAGGTCTCTCAAGTACGACTCTGTGCTAGGATTCAAGAAGAATGTCACAGATACTGAGACTGACAACTGACAAGCACAGCAGTGGCTATTGGGGAGAAACCCCAAGTAAGTTGGATAATCGATCTGATCAGTCCGGAATAGTAACCGCACTTGTTACCGTACCCTAAGCGTTTGGAGTTTCCGAGAACGGAATTATCCTCTATCACAGTATGATTAACGGAGTCTTCCTTATCAATGTTATACTGGATTCTTGAGCAATCTTCCCTCGGCTTCAAAGTCGTCATTAATGCCCGAAGAGCAACGCGGCCAAGGTCTATTCCCACCTAGTGATGTTGCCGGTTCCGTTGATCACCATCGGCTGATTCGCGTTCTTGCCTCACTTGGGCATGCACTCGTACAGTCGCATGTCAAAAGTCTGAATCCAGGGTATTTACGCTAATCAGGCTAGCAGTAAATATCCTGGATTAACTTTTCCATGGCATGCCACTATCCCACAAGATTATACGTTCGGATGGCCCAAACCAGCTCGTTATACGTTCTATACATTCCTCCACCAGCTGCGGAGCTGCATGGCCGACTGATACTCAGTCAGAACCGAGCTGGAGGGTCGCGACTATGCGGTCTGCGTACGAGGGACTGCACTTAATACCCTCTCTTTCTCTGAGTCCTAGCACATACGACCATAGGGTGTGGAAAACAGGGCTTCCCGTCCGCTCAGCCGTACTTAAGCCACATGTAGAACGTGGTCAATCCCCAGAAAGCCCTTTTGTCTCTAAAGCAGCGGCGTGATGCTTTTAGTATGAGTGCTGGTGATATGGGTGAGGACCCCATCACCCCTGGTGATGATGGCTCACTGGTGGTGACGAGGGCTCCAGGGGGGTGACGAAGGCGAACTCAGCAGTCGACTGCAGAAGAAAACAGTGATTGAGCTGCTTTTAATGGGCTCTGCGCCCTGCAGTTTGAAGAGATGCACTTGATTGTCACTGAATCCATACAAAGTATCAATCCTCTCAGCTTCCACCCCTTTGATTGCATGTGACATCATATGACCATGGCTTCCAAGGATGCCAAGTTACAAAAACTACTAGAGGAGCACCAGAGACTGGCAGAGTCATGTGGCTTTACTCTTGAATACTAAAATGAGCAAGAAAAGAAAGAGAATGTTATAAGTTTCCCAAGGCTAGCACTGGCAACTTGTGAAAAATATGATTAAGCAGCACTCCAGTGGGCTTTGTAAGTATCCATCCTAGTTAAGCCTAGCGAGGTAACTCTTAACTCTTGTGCTTTAGATGGAGACTTTCTCGCAAGGAGAGTGGAACAAAAAACTTCTCTAAGGATGAACCAGATCCCTCTCCGCAAATTCTAAAGCTTTTTGTGGAGTTTTACATCACTACCTGAAAAAAGAATGTACCCTCGCAGAAGATAGCATGCTGTTTTTTTACCAGCTTTACCTTAAGATGGGAGTGTGAGACGTCCAGGAGTCTCCCTATGGAAGTAAAGAAAGATGTCCTTAATATATGTGATCTAAGCACACCTGTTGTCATAATTAATGCTAATATGGTTCTGCTTAGTTCATACAAAATGATCTAATAAGCAAGTATGCCCTTTCAACAGAACCAAGGGCATGCTTCCTAGTTACAGCCAAGGATATTGAATACCTGCTTCGCTGTTTATTTGGGGACAATACACATGACTATGTGCATGAACGGGCATGAGTCCAAACTGGAAGTGTGCTTGCTCTCTTTGCAGGTTCAGGGTCCAGAGCTAGCGTAATTATAGAATCAAGTTCTTATTAAAATATAAATAAGTGCCTCTACTACAAGGTTAGTGCTTGCAATGTCTGCTCTAAGGTTTGGTTCTCTGACTCTTATACAAAGCATCTCTTATTCCATATAAAATGGAGCAATCAGGTTGGGATAGTGAAGAGATGGGTGACAATTGATCCTAAATTCCTTAAAGGATGGCGCTACCAGGACGATGTAACTTTGTAGGCTATTTCCCTTCTCTCATTCCCTACGCAACCCTGCTCTCAAGACTACTGTTATTCAATCTGGGGCTTACCATGCTACTAGGCCAAAAACTTGGTTCAGGGAGCATCTAATCCTTGTAATGAATTTCATTTTTTGGGTCATCATCCACAGCATTACAGATTGTGCGTTTAAGGGCATATCCTCTGTTGAGGAGTTTACTGGCCCAAAGACCTCCAGAGGGCAGAGAATCATGGACTCTGCAGTGGACTGAGACCACTAGAGAGCTCCCCTTTTTCCGAATGGTCACTCCAAACAGACCAAAAGCGGACAAAGGTCTGACATTCTCCTCGTTAAGACACAATTTCACGAGTCTAGCGCAAAGAGATGGATTCGAGGACCAACTACGCGTCCACGGAATCAGAGCGGAGCTCGCAAACAGGGTAGATCATAAGTTGACGCCGCCCACTACATTCGTTTACCTCCCCTTTGCTTTCTGATTTCCCCACTTTTGCATAGATGTCTGTCCAGTGCTGATCAATTATATAGCCAAAGCCTCGGAAGCTACGCGTAGCCAAGCGCTTAACCATCAAGACCACAACACATTCCTCAAATATCAGGCTCAGCTCAAGGCATTGGATATGCAAGCTTTGATGTATGGTATGGAACCAGATTATGAGTGTTGAGACACGGAACAGAGCATGGCGCATCATCGTGATCCGAATGTCCCTCTTCGCCTCGACGCCGCGACACTATTCGAGTTCGAACACGACGAGGAAATCGTCAGCCTAAACGCAAGGATCGCCGACCTTTCACGAAGGATTGCAGGTCAGCCCAGCATTCATAAATCACTGGCGGAAGAGCGATCGAGGCTGTACACGCAGAAGGCAAAAAAGCTTCGGGCAAAGCGATCCGAGTTTATTTCACAGTGGTGGAATGAATGCTATGAAGAATACATCTCTGGGAAGGGATTCACTGAACGTGTACCACGCTGATGCTGCCGAAGGTAGTGGTATTGCTCAGGGAGATTTTATCCGGGGCTTCCAGTTTCCCTATTGGGTTCAGCTCGACAATCTAGGGCCTACACACCAGACAACTGTCTGCCGGGTTATCCAGACAGGCTCTTCTTAAAACGAACTGAATGGGAAACTAGATATGTGAATGTAGATTAAGAATACATAGATTTTACTCTTTCATCAGTACTAATGTTTATGATGGATGTATTACAATAGGACTGATCACTCTCTCAGAATGGGGTTTAAATGAAGAAAAAGAATCTAGAGACCCTATACACTCCCCAGGAAGTTGACATGAGTAAATAAAAGAGTGGACTGGGTAAGTCTTTTACATTCTTCTGGACTATCTGCTAACTTCACCCACAGGCTAGATGGTGAATCTTCAGACAGTGTTCATGAGTGGTCATGTAACTGCTATACACACTCCTAATATACACACTTAACCCATACCAGTCATTTCAGGCCGTCCAACATTATCATTCCAGCTCATGACCTATTATCCCCCTCTGGGCATCTAGCAGCGCCATCCGGGAAGGGAAGACACACTGGGACCAATGTAACCCCATGGAGGCTGGCAGTCATTTGTGGCATGATTAAAGAGGTAGAAGTGCCCTAAGACCATATTATATCAGTTATCTGTAGAGGGCGTCTGGTCACCAGGAGTCCTACCATTAGCACATTGGCAGAAAGTGCCTGAGACACCACAATCAGGATCCGAGCTACAGAGGTGTTAGTCTCCTAGTCGCTCCGTCAAAATGGGAATAAGGCTTACAAGGCATAACATCCGCTGTCTCCACGAGCAACGGTACTGCTCAACTCAGAGGCAGGGGCAGCCAATACCAGGGCGGTGTTGACGAGGGCAAGCATGACAGTGGTGGCCTTCATTGTGTAGTTGGGAACTACTGGCAGTTAGATGGAAGATTGAAGGGATGTGGTTGAAGATGAATGATGTTGATGGATGAGGAGTCTGTGGTGCGAATGGCTGGGGCTTTATATGTTTCTCCTGAGCCGTGGCAGCCCTGTTGAACGCGATGTGGCCTCTCCTGGAGGCATACTCTGCCTTGCCCGTTCTCAGAGCTAGATATCCATGAAGTTGGTGGAGATATTCTCATTTCGCCTTGGACACGACGAAGGATATTGGCGGACACTGACAGCTGAATGTAACGTCGTGTCCTGGTTTTCCACGCCATAGACAATTGGACTGAATCCTGACTCTACTAGCTTCACTGCATTAATACTAACTTGGACATCACACTTGTGGATACTTGGGCTCCAAATGAGTGCTATAGACTCAGTATCGCGAGTCTGAGGGACAACAGACCAGTATGGGAGTCAAGTGGAGAGCTGTGAACCTCGGCTGTGGTCACTATGATGGTTCAAGCAAGGCAGCAGGGTATTTGCTAGCAGAATAACCACTAAAATAGATTGATTGGATTCACCTGTAGTAGGCTTTTCTCAGTCGACAGGCTTGGTTTTGGAATCAGGCAATACTTAGTACGAGCCTGCACACCCTAGATCAATTAGACCAATGGGATGATCAGGGTGTACCGCCTGGTACATTTTAGATATCAGACACCTCCCTTGACGATCATATTCCGGCGTGGGAAAGTCGATTAATTGCCGCATTACCATAGGGAACCAAGTGCTATGTTTCGAAAAGATTCGGAGGTCCGAATTCCCTTGGCGCAGCGGTGGGTGCGTTTTGCCGGTGGTCCTGAGAGGCATCGATTGTGAGGCTGTGGACCATGTTGATCCACATTTTCTCACTAAATTGTTACACAGTGAGCCTTCCAGACCCCTGCTGGTCTAGATGGCATAGTTCGCATCAATAAGGTGGCTAATATGCTGGTATTGATACTCTCTAGAAGGAAGGAGGAAACAAGCACTCTAGGCCCGAACATGGAAGCTAGCGAGGTATACCTCCGATAGCATCTGGTATGACCTATCTCTTTCGTCCCAATGTAACCAGACAGGGATATTTTCCCCCCAGATTGGTCACGAAGAGCATACCATTCGACGGGTTGCACAACCGGCCCCTCCTGCTTGATAACCTCTCAGCAACAGTCGGAGCATCAGGTGAAAAACTTGTATCGTGAATTACGGATTTATTCCGCGGATATTGCATTTGCAGGGGAGGATATTTGCAGTAGACTCTGTGACTCTTATGTATGAATGTCACGTGTGGTTGGCGCCTTGGAGTGACTCAGACATGAATCTTAGTTAACTAAAACCTCCTACGACCAAGCCTTTTCAGCCGCTCATCCGCCGAGACTTATCATCTTTTAACTAAACAACTGTTCGGTTAGTGAGAATGTCTCAACAGTCGCATGGCCCAAGCCTTAATCGGCTGTCCCAGCTGCCCAGCGAGCTTTTGGTCGCCATCTTCCAGCAGTGTGCGGATTTTTCCTCGGTGTGGAGTCTTATGCGTACATCGAAACTGATGTTATCTGTGTTTAATGATGGAGCCTGTGACATTGTTTCTGGAGTCATGCTTTTAGCTGTGCCTGTCCAGACTCGGATTGTCATGCAAGGAATCCTCGCCATGCATGTGGGCACTTTTCAATGGGAAAAATATGGGGACGTCGATTATTTTATGAGCAGTAAAATCCGACCAGCAAATAGGATTATAGCATCGTCCGCACAGCTGCGCAAGTTTGTCTATCTCGCCCACTATATCCATGTCCTGGCGCATCTATGTATCGAACGAATGATCCAGCGATGTCTTGAGAGTCCATTAGGCCAACGACAGTATCCCCCAGAGTTCGAACTTCCCACATGGACAGAGGAGCAACGGACCGTTCTTGCATTTTGGCGCCTGCTATTCTGGAATCAACTCAAGATTGAAGGTGCAAAAGGATCTCTGGGATGGTCCACGGCTGACCTAGAACGACTGGCCTCGAGCCATCTCTATAATCATTATAAATACAATGCTCAGGTCTACCAGGGCTTTGCAGCTTTGGCTTTAATTGCCGAGATCTTACCGGCGGGAAGGTCCTTTGACCCCTCCAAGAGGCTGGCTCAGTATTCCTTTCCGCTGCCGAGCATGCCCAGGGAAAGAGAGTTTGACTGGGTCTGCGAGCCTCCTCCTTCATCAGAAGCTATTACCCAGGGTCGGACGTTTGAAGACTGTAGACATGATTTGGATGTGATGTTCCCCCTACAACAAACAGGGCACACTCAGCAAAGAGGGGACGATGAGTCTAGCCCAGAGACAGCCCAAGACCCTAGCCATGATCTCATCAGTCCTGCAAACAGTCCTGAACACAGTCCCGAGTCTCCTTCTCCGGCTCTTCCAAACCTGACAGGTGAAGCTGTACAGCCATCTGGACGACAACTACATCGATATTTCTACGGAACAGACTCTGAGGACGAATCGTCCGACGACAATGAATGGAACACCGCTGAGGACTTCGATGACGACACAGAAGACAACACCGAGGGTGAAGAATCAAGCTCCGACTCGAGCTCTGATTCAAGCAGGGATGGCCCTAGAAGAGGCGCGATCGTCTGCATCTTGAGGGAACCCACCCCGTCTCCTCCAGATGAATTGTATGTCTGGCACCTACGGCAGCCCTATGTGCCTCCCCCGGTTCGTGATTATGGGCCCCAGTCGCTGCGGGGCCCGGAGTGGGAAGACCTTGACCGAGAACCGCTCGGTATCCAATTCTGGCGCAGTATGTATGGTGGGAATCCCGCGGCCGGACCGGCCAAGTATATGCGGTTCCACCCGTATGCTCGCTATGGATTCGCATTCTGGGAGGAGCAGCGGATGATGCAGCTAGGACTATGGTCGCACCAGGCCCTTGACGATCCAATCGAGTACTACCGACGATGGTATGCCTTTCTGAGTCAAAAGGATATTAAGCGCTGGAAGCAGAACTTCCGATCTAGTGATGATGAGGCCTACGAATGACATTAGTCGATCAATCGAGCATATCGTGCATTCGAGCGAGGCTAGCATCTAACTCATTACACGCGACTTCCTCCAAGGATACCACCTATCCGGATATAACTGTCCAGGTATTTTCACTCCTCATACGTACAGAAGCCTGTGTAGAACTCGACTGGGTAGGTCTTGCCTGGCTTTGTAGTATGGGTGACATGCAGAGTATAATCATAGGCGACCCTGTCAACCATACAACATTGTTAGCGCACCTAACCACAATCGCACGACGAGAGGAGTAGTAGTACATACGCAGCCAAAGCGTAAGTCTCTGGGTTTTCCATGGCTAGGGACTTTGTGTACATCTTGCCATTTTTTCGGAGCTTATTTCCGGCCATTCGCTGGAAACTGTATTCCTCATTGCCACCCTCGTTCATTACTGAGCCCCAATACAGATGAAGCAATTCGTGATATGCAACCCGTCCGGCTGGAACCACTTCGGAGATCTCTTGAACTTTACCTTTGTCGGAAGGTGGTTGGCCAGTTTCGAAAAAGCTGCTGGCGAATGCCGAGGCTGCCACGGAGCGTAACCGACGTCCGTTGAACGCCGTATGGCATAGTATGATGGCGCCGAAAGACTTTTCGGTAATGGTATAGCCAATGGCGCCGGCTTCTGTCTTGCAAGGACCGAGCGTGGGATCTTCATCGTATTTGACAGCGAAGGTGTACGTCAGAGTGGCCTGGCTCCAGTACTATCTCTCCATCAGCAATTGACAAATGTGGCTCCGAGAAGGGCGGGTACCGGGTAAATATGTTTGGTACTTTTTTTCAGCTGTTCTGCTACTTCCTTGCGACGAGTCTTCATGGCCTTGCTATCCTGGATGAGATACGGCTCGCCGTTCTCCTTGACCATGGGGTTGCCCTCAGCGTCTTTCATCTGGCTGCTCATCGTCTCGCGAACGCGCCAAGTGTCACCGCAGAAGAGATAGGGACGACGTTTGTTCAGTCCATTATTGGTTCGGCCACCGGACTCCATCCAATTCATCACTCCATGCATTCTGTCTGTCCAAGACAGTTAATTCCTATGTCATCCCCGTGAATGTGGTATGGCCACTTGCCTCGAATATGGCGCAGATCATCGTCTGATGGCCGGAAGAACAGCTCGTTTATCAGACGTGTCGCTTCGTTAGTCGTTGCCGCCGTTGCATCCTCATGATCGAGCGTTGCTTGGATTGCAGTGCCCGCTAACTGATATGCATCGTCGAACATGGCATCCAGGGTTTCCTGGCCGTAGTCGCTGCAGGAGCCCCCCGGTGCCATCGGGTCAACTGAGTAGCGAAACATGGCTCCCAGCTCTCTTCGAGTAGCCCGGGCCAGCTGGCCACGGCCACCGATGCTGGCCATGATGGCGAGCAGCAGTGCTGGCGAAAGTACTAGTCGTGGGAGGATCATTGTATGCACTCGAGAGAGAGTCAGTCTCTTCTGCTTGAAACGAGAATTCAGTTGGAAGGGACGGTCTTTTCTCCTTTTTTTTTTTAGCATGCAGCGTTCTAAATAATCGCCTCCTCTCGTTTGCTAAGAACCACATGTCAGTACACTGGTAATGACCCCGGCCCTTTTTTCTTTTTTGTAAAACAATTATGTCTGTCGGAATCACTCCCGGCACCCGCGGAAAGGGCTTTTTTGGTCATCCATGACCCTGTCCTCGCTCTATCCGTCAGCCACAAAGATAGCACGGTCACCGCTAACAATGTCAAGTGAGACATTGTGGTGGATGCCATATCGGTATAGATTATGCACTTCTTGCACGACTCGTACATTCCGTTGTATCCCGGTGTGTGGGGATCGGAAGCCGTCTATAGTCCCTTTTATGTAAAAGAAATGATATCTAGGAGATCCGATATCCTTGCAAAACACTAATATAGCGCATGTAGAGGATTAGGCGACTGTATCTAGGCACATGGAACATGCGCGAATGCAGCCTCGCAATTTTAGGCCTTCAATAGTCCGACGCTATGTAGACCCCTGGTCAAGACTTCTTGGCTTAGCTTGTGTGAACAGGTCCCATCACTAGTTCCTCGACTGCTGCAAGGTACTGGAGATAGCACAGCGCTAAGCATACATGGTAGCATACATCGTCCCATGTGCTAGCCGTTTTCATGGTCTAGTTTTGCCATCGAGAGGCAACCCGGCCCTACGAGCTCAGAATGATTGTGAAGTCCCCCTTCTGTTTCTCACATTTAATCTCTCACTTCCCAGACATGTCAGGGGGCAGTCACTGTTGAGAAATTGAACGACTATGCTAGTCAAGAGTCTCGGGCTGTTGTGGTTAGGCGTTGCCTATGCCCACGGTCACTCCCACGAGGGCCATAAGAGCGGCCATTTCCACCATCCACCTGTCCGGCGGGACGTGGCTCAGCCCTACATTGGCACAAGACTGCCGGGCCAAATTGATGTGCTCGCTGCGCCGGTGTTGGTGGGAGATACGCCTCCATTGCCGCCGGGATCTCCTCAGGTCAGTCGATTCCATCTGTCTTGCGGAGCAAAACAATGACTGACATGCACAGCCGGCCCCAAGCTACATGAAAGATAATGTCAACAATTTCTTCGGTAGCGCTCCAGACCATGGCTCCATGACGGGCCCTGTGCTTGGACCGGTGAATTCAACGCTGAATGCCGAGAGGTACAGCATGGTTCTTGCTGCAAAGGTTAGTGGTGACGACTACTGGCTGTCAAGTCTAGGGAGCGTGGGATCGATGCCTTTCGCCCCCGCCGGGTACCTGTTCTTTCGGAACGTGAAGGACTTTGGCGCCGTCGGTGACGGGGTCACGGACGACACAGCGGCCATCAACCGGGCCGTGGCAGCGTTCAGCGCGTCGGACCATTCGACCCTGCGCTGTGGGGAGAAGTGCGGTTCGACGTCCTCGCTAGGTGCCGTAGTATACTTCCCTGCTGGGACATATCTCATCAGCACGCCGATCGTCCAGTACTACTACACGCAATTCGTGGGCAATCCCACCCTCAAGCCTGTCATCAAGGGTGCGGAGAACTTCACCGGCATTGCCCTTGTCGATACGGACTTTTACATCCCCGGCGGCAATGGAGCCGAATGGTACATCAACCAGAGTAATTTCTACCGCCAAATCCGCAATTTCGTCTTTGATATGACTGGAATGAACTGGACAAACACCGACAACGATCAAACGTATGTGCCTGCGGGCGTCCATTGGCAGGTCGGCCAGGCCACGTCCATCACCAACTGCGATTTCCGAATGGCCGTCTCCACGGCAGACCATTCCGCAACAGCCGTGGGGATCTACATGGAGAACGGCAGTGGTGGAATGGTGTCTGATTTGACCTTTACTGGCGGGTAAGTCCTTGCCTACATTCATGGTGAGGTCTGCCTTGGCTAACGTAGAATGACGGCAGGAATATTGGTTTCCTCGCGGGCAGTCAGCAGTTTACCGCCATCAATCTCCAATTCACTTCCTGTCTGACCGCCATCAAATCCATCTGGAACTGGGGCTTCACCTGGAAGAACATTTATGTGCTGTCATGTTATATTGCCATTGACGCTACCGAGTATTCCGGGGTGGGCAACCAGGGAACGGGCTCCATCGCGGTGGTAGATTCCCACTTCAACGGCGTCCCGTATGCCATCACCATTGCCCATACGGCAGATGAGCAGCCGAACATCGTCCTCGACAATTTGCTCGTCGAGAACTCGGCATCCGTGGTCCTCATCTCCGGCGGAGAGACTATCCTGCCTGGCTCGACCGGCGCGCTCTACTTCAATTCCTGGGTCAGTGGGTATCGTTTCCTGCCCGATGGTTCCGCAGGTAAATCAAACGGGTTTGTTAATCCCGCCCCGAACAAACCATCTCTGCTGCTGGACGATTCGGGCGCCTTTTTCCGCAAGCCGAAGCCGCAGTATGTGGGCGAGACTCCCGTCGTGGCCACCGATCATGGGATTTCAAACGACGGCACGGGAGACCAGGCCATGGCCATTAATGAACTCTTGTCAAGCTATCTGGGTTCAGTCATTTTCTTCCCCGCTGGTGTATACCTGGTTGAAAGTACCGTGCATATTCCCGTCGGAAGCAAGATCATTGGCTCCGGTTGGAGTCAGATCATGGGGACTGGGTCTGCGTTCGAGGACGAGGGTAATCCCACCGTTGTGGTCCGGGTGGGCCAGAAGGGAGACCAGGGCGTGGTGGAGATTACCGATATGCTGTTCACTGTCAAGGGAGCCACGGCCGGTGCAGTGCTGATGGAATGGAATGTCCACGAGAGTACCCAAGGTAGCGGTGAGTTCTGGCCCTTCCCCCCGTTCATTCGTCGTGCACCGCTTTCTGACATTCTATAGCCGCCATGTGGGACAGTCACTTCCGGGTTGGTGGCACCAACGGCAGCAATCTGGGACTTGCCGATTGTCCCATTGGAGGGGACGCGGTGAACAAAAAGTGCATGGGTGCCTCGATATTGATGCACATCACTAGCGATGCGTCGGGCTACTTTGAGAATGTCTGGGCCTGGGTGGCTGACCACGACATTGACAGTCCTCTGAATGCGCTCGCCACCGAAAGTCCTGCTGGCGTGCCGCTGAATGTCCAGACCGATATCTCAGTTTACGTTGGACGAGGCATGCTTATCGAGTCTCAGGGGCCTACCTGGCTCTACGGCACAGCCAGCGAGCATGCGCAAATGTACCAGTACCAGCTTCTGAATGCGGCAAATATCTACATGGGTCATATGCAGACAGAGACGCCGTACTACCAGCCCAAGCCCAATGCCCTCTCGCCCTACACGCCGGGCAACTTTCCCTCGGATCCAACTTACATGGACTGCTCGGATGACCTCTGTCGGGGCGCGTGGGCGCTCCGAGTCCTCAACTCAACCGACGTCTTCATCTACTCGGCGGGATTCTATTCCTTCTTTCAGGCCTACGACGAGAGCTGCGTATTCGACGAGCACTGCCAGCAGTCTCTCATCCAGACTAACTATGCGAACCGCCTGTGGATGTACAATATCTTCACCAAGGGTAATGTGGAGATTGTGTCGCCCGAGGGTGGCCTACCCGCATTACTCTTCAACGACACAACGCGAAATGGTTTCACCAGCGAGATTGCGGCGTGGCTGTCCCTGTCAACCGGTGGTGAAGACATTGGATCTGTTGGCGATGGCTCTGGAGCGGTTTATATTGATCCTAGCGTCTGGAGTGAACCAGACGATGGCAGGAACATCTCCTGCTACCCGCCGTGCACCTATGTATTGCCTCCCATAACGCTACCAACTCCAACAACCTTTGTGTATCCGACTCTGGTGACGGAAATTGGGGTCGGATATGAAGTGCCTACATCCTACGTTCACTTGGGGAATACTATCACCACTACCACATACCTCATGAGCACGACGACGACCACCCTCACGATTCCGGATGTCGTGACCCCTGTGGTTTCGTTCTGGGACGTCACTATTGAACCCAACGTGACGTCTTTGGTCATCTTACCGACTCCGAGCATCATTCAGGGTGCCTTCAACATTACCTGGCCGCCTCTTGTGCGTAACTCGACTACCTACCCCGGCACAGTGGTGCCTTTCTATCCGCCCCCGTGGACACCGGACCCACCGAGCTCGACTCCCACCGGGGATTCGACATTAACGTCAACATCAACTACCAGCGACAGCTCCGGGACGAAAACCACGACTGGCGGAGGGACAAAGACAACCAGTAGCCATGACCACGATTACCCTCATGTGACGCATCACCGAGGCCCACCCAAGCCGAAATGCACAGACCGCAAGATCTGTGGCGGCGAATGTCATAAGGGACTTGGTGGACTCCTTAACAGAGCCTTCCACGTGTGTAAACCCTGCTGGACGGGCTGTGGAGGGTTGGACTGTATGTATTCTTTCGGTATCCACCATGATTGCACTTCTAATCGAACCAGCTCCCAATGACTTCCCCAATGACCCGAACGATACACCGGATGACGATGACCCCAATGATGATCCATCAAGCTCGTCATCTGAATGCTCAACTACGACATACAGCTCATGCAGCACGGCATGTATCACTGCATCCTCCACCAGTTCATGCTCGTCAACGTGCAGAGGTACCTTATCCCATTCCCTCCTGTTCCCGTACTTTTCTTGGCTAACTCTTTAGACATCGTGGGCTGCGACACAACCGGCACGTTAATGGTCGGCACCTACACGCTGCCACCCATCCTGGCGGGGACAGCGGAGACCTGGTCCGATGCGGATTACACGGCCAGCGACTTAGCCGAGGACTGGGCTGCGGCCTCCTCAATCTACAGGTCTGAGCACTCCTCAGGACCCATCACTAGTGGACCCAGTCCAACATCTGGCGGCGGTGGCACCGGCACCGGCACTGTCACCACAATTACAAAGGTAGTCATCGAGACCGAGAGACTAACCACCACATACCCCGCGAGCCTGGGCGTGGTAGGCATGGCAGCCGCCTGGAGGATGGGATACCGCAACTTTGTAGTCAGCGACTACGACCTCGACTTCTACAGCATCTCCGAGACGAAGAATATCTGCCAAGTGAAATTCTCGACGGAGTATGGGGCCGCTAGGCCGCGGCCGAAGACATGGTCTGATATCCCGCAGAGTGTCACCTTCTTCTCGGACCTTGATGTGCTATCGACGAAGTATACGAACTGTATATATACGAACGCGGCGGCGCCGAGCCCGGGGGATGGTGGGACGGTCTCGTGTGATGGTTTGACGCTGCCATGTTATGTCCACACGGGGCCGCCCATGGGGTGTAATCCGGATATGTTCTTTGGGTGGCTGACGAGTGTTAAGCCGCTGGTTAATTGTCCGGTGGCGACGATGACGAGCTCGGTGTATACCACGACCACTGCCGTGACGGAGACTCTGATGACGACCATACCATAGTTTGGATTCAGCTGCTTCTTCTAGTATTTCTAGCTCCAATACCGGTTCTTTTAACACTTTCATCTGTTCATTCGCACATATAATCTTCCGCAGTGGCAGCGGAAGCGTTTCCATGGTCTTGTTGTTCTCCGATGGATTCTCCCTGTCCTTGCTTCATAGAATTAAACATATCCTCTCAGGCCTGTAACTGATTTCGCAGGCTACTAGTCCAAGTCATTGCCAAGGTTATGCTCTACTGACAACTAGATCGGGACAAAAGGCTTCCCTTCAACATTCACCACCTTCTCTACCGCCCGTCGATAACCCTGCGAGTTCTGAATCTCCGCTGCATAAGCATCCAACCGCGGATACTCCTTCCGCGGAATGATACACAGATTAAGCGCCGCCAGAACAGGGATGCTCATGTGGATATCCGCCGCAGTCAGCCGCGAATCACACAGAAACGGCCCCTCCTCCAGCGCAGACGCCAGCTGGTCCTCAAGGAAGCGGAAATGGGTGCGAAGCTCTTGGTCAAGAAACTCGGCGCTGACTTTGTCGGTGATGAACCCGGTGATGGGTTTGATGAAGAAGGGGACGGGGCCATTTTTCAGTGCTATCTTCATCAGCATATACATGATGGAAGAAACTGGGGCATAATACCATTCATGATCAGCTGCACCTGGATCGGCGACATGAGACTCCCCTCTGCATAGTGCATATAATACCGATAGCGCATCCAGGCCTCCGTTTCGCCGCCTAGCTGCCCCTCGCGACCCGCCTGATACCGCGGGGGAAGCCGTTGTGTGGACGAATCTCCTTCTGTGGCTGCGACAGTTTTCGCCGAAGGACAAGCTGTACATGGGTTCGGCGTCCTTTGTAAAGTATTTGGATGGACACTCAAGACACGGTGAGAGAAATTTGTGCACCGTCATGGGCCAGCACACTGAATCTGCATATAGGTTCCAAACAATAGGAGGACGGCTTTAACGACTGAAGACCGAGTATGCAGCGAGCTGTCTTGTACGGTCTAAAGTTCATATTGAGGCTCTGCATCTCTGGGTACAGCTACATGTTTCCAATCGATCTGCACTAATTGTACGTGGAGAGCCTCAACATCGCTGTTTCCCTTCGACAGCTGCATTTCATATGCAGTTCATCTCGATGTTTCGATAAGAGATGTCTAATGCACTGCCTTATCTTTATCAAACGTCCGTGTTTTGCCATTGGAGCCATCTAGCTTAGAGAGATATTATAGGCTTTACTCAAAGTAGGTTAAATTCAGGCAGCGCAAATACCAGACTGGACCGAGGCTTTGCGAGCATTTCCCCAAAGGAGGAAAGACTGTGGCTATGCACTAATGGCGGAACACTCGGCTTTTCGTATTTTCTGCATTCCTCCAACCAAGATAGCTCATTTAGCGCCAGGTGGATCCTACACTCCCCAGTTGTGGTGAATGCTCCAGACTGGTGATGCATTTTCCAGACATCACCACCCCTCTAAACTGCACTCACGCTAATCACCACCTCGTTCAAGCGGCATCACCCCCATTCACCCAGGGGCACCCACCCGGGTATTGACCGCGTTCAAGCCACACACCAGCTGGTTAGTAGTTGGGTGGGTGACCACCAGCGAATCCCGGCTGTTGTATGTTTTTTTTTGCTCACCTGTTCTTTTCTCTACCTTTCTCTATCTTTTAAGTTAGTTGCTGCTCAACTCTGTCATGGCCAACTTTCAGACTGCTGCCTGGAGTGGGTGTTATGGTTAATGGTGATGGTAGGTCAGAGATGTAGTTAGGAGAGTGCACTAACATTATCTCTCCTGTAGCACAATTCACCTCTCTATGTTGTAGGCTTATAATTAAATATGGTGAATATCCTTTCCCATGTTAAGTATATGTACAGAGAAACCGCCGATAACCTAAGGCGAACTCTCACCGACTCACTCCCATTGTCACTCTGATTTCGATAACGGTCAGACCTAATTGTCTATTAAGAGGCGCGTGACCACAAGTGACTAAGAAGGGAGCGGCGTACTGGTAGTTATATTGAGCTACCTTAATCAGAACGAACTGGTTATAAATATGCTTATATTGGATGCAGCTGGCATTGTCTCCACTGCTCATGACCTACACACATCCCTTAACACTGTCAATCAGTAAAGATCATCCTCTTTCACGGAATTCCCCGTAGCCAATTTGTTGCACAAAGCCTGATATTCTTGATCTGTCTTCAGACGAGACGAACACATGTACTCAGTCAAGGCTCAAAATCTATTTCCAACTGCTCAAACCAAGTGCCACAGCGAAGATGGTTAAAAATTCTTTTATAAAGGTTCGGCCGGTCCATGACGCTGCCGCACCCCATTCGCATATGGATAATGTCCCACTGCCCTTCACCGATCAACCAAGGGAGCTCATAATCAAATGGGGACTTGAAAACAGTTGAGTGGAGCGGATGAACCGGGAAAGATTGTCGATGGTGCCGCTAGGCGTGAGGCTCAACAGCGTGGTTTGCAGAGCTTAGGGTCTTTGGGTCTTTTCCGCATCTTCAGGAAGGGCAGTAGTCCTGGTAGATAGATGATGAAATTGTTTCAGATACTTGCTCAGCAGCTGGGTATCCCAGTAGGATGATTGGTCGTGATGAATGTTCCTCAGTCATACGTTTAGTTAGGTGAAAGGGACCCCGAAGTGGGAATGGTATGTTATTAAGCCCTGGGCAAGTAAACAATATACGGGAGCATTACAGGCTGTAGGCTAGAACTTCTCTGCATAGCCTCCCGTAGCATGATCCTCACAGTCCGACTCGCAATCCGTCTCACAGCCTACAGCGTGGCGCCGCAGAGAACGCAACCCCCGTGCATCGAGATGGTCCAGCCAGCTGGCATACCAATCCAAGAATTCTGGGATAGAATCAAAGCGCGCCTTGCGGCCGTACAGAATGCTCGGATTGACCACCTCGGCCTTGAAAATAACCACCCGCCACCCCCAGTCCCGGATGTTGGCAGCATCAGCAGCAACATCATCCTTATCATCCGTCTCCAGCCGGCAGTACACATACGCACTATACCACGCCGGGCATTCATACAGCTGGTTATATCCAACGCCGGTGATAAAGCCAGCCTGGGCCTCCAGGTCGTCGTCAATATACGCCTCCAGCAACTTATTCGGTAATTCATCTTCTAACTCCCGCTGCAAGCCCTCCTGCTCGCGCTTCAGTAGTTCTGAGTCCGCCAACTTCTCGCGTGTCTGTCCGTCATCAAGTCCCTCGTGCGCAGCAGGGGCGGGAGCACGCCGTCAGAGGGTTCATGGGCTGGTAGAGCGTTGAGAACAGCAGGGATGTCAACATCAGCAACTGCCGTGTCCTGTGGGATGAGACCGTCCATCCATCGGTACTGGCAGAGCAAGCGGCGCTTCTCCTCTTCGGTTGGTAGATCTTTTGCGTTGATTTCGTTGATGCGGTCCTGGAGGAACCGGCGGTTTGCGTCGGCCATTTTGCTGCGGAAGCGGGTGATGGCGAGGCGCATGGTTTCGTCTGCTGAGGCTGATTCTGAACCTTCCATTGCTGTTGCGTCCGTCATTATCGGCCTTTTTTGTTTTTTATTTGCTGTTGTTGTTTTGTTTTTGAGTGAAAAGGCTGCGCCAGCCCTCTAACCGATAGATCGATGCAAGTATTTGAAAGGTTTCTCTAAATGAACAGAGGCGGATGGAAGCGCGGAGAGAAGTGGCCGATATGCAGTAGATACTGGGCCCATCTTTAGCTAGGAGCAGTAGAAGTCTGACTGCAACTGAGTTCTAAGAACATCAAGGGCTTGTACCCCCGTCAGTCAGAGGGGATGCATCTCGGCCTATGCTCGAATAGGGCCGACGAAGCTTATTTTAGCGATTAGCGTGACACCGGCAACCAGCCATGGTCGAGGCTATGGAGAAATAAATATGAGTGGCAGAATACTTGCCAGCTGTTGAAATCAATAGTACTAGTTCAATTCGCCAACTACTAGTAATTTATATGGCCAATTGAAAACCAATGAAGGTCTGATTCTTCTAAACGAATGACTATCTAGCTACTATTTATGCCTTCCACTAGAGGCAGGGGTTCGGCTTATTAATGAACGAATATATGCCGAATATTGGGCGAATACCGCCGAATATTATCGCCAAGGGACGGCTCGGTGGAATCAAATCACTTCCAAATCGGGCAAGCGGTCATATAATTCAATACCAGCTGTGTCGGATGTTGATCACTTACGGGGAGACAATCTGCACAACAGGCCAAATCTCATATTTTTATGATTACTCGCTGATCTCTGTTAACTAGAGTGCTGCTACCCCCATGAGTATTGAATAGCATGCACACTAGGATAACAATATCAGTTTCAGGGCGACAAAACCAACAATATATGAGGGATTCAAAATAAGTCAACAGATATATAAATAACCAGATATAGGATCATGCAAGTTTGAATCGCTGTCGCAGCTACATTGATTTACTTCTCTTGTGTGGAGACCTTGCCCTACCCGCACGAGAAACTGATAGATGTTGAGCATGCAGAGAGGCTTTCCTCCCTCTCTTCTCCATATCCTGGTGGGAAATTGCAATCTCTTGGAGGGGTTGCGCCAGCTCCTTTATTTTCCTCCTTTGTTCATCTTTCAATACCCACTCGGTTTTCCCTCCACATGATCGCTCCTCATATGGAGATGTCTGCATCCAAGCCGTCCACTTGCGCACCACGGCTATCGCAAGCTGGCGTGAGACCTCAAACCATTCAATGTGATTCCCTTTACACCCCGGACACTTTTCTTCAATTCGCCTGCAGTTCTTCAACTCCGTGTGCACTAGCTTCTCCACGCGGCAGACATGGCTGACCTGTAGATGCTCCTCGTCACTCCCCCGTTGTGGAAAGTACACTTCCATCGGCTTGCGGCACTTGGTGCTCCATTCCATTACACGCTTGCTAATTTCGTTTTTTGTATAGCCGATCTTGAGGTGCCCAAAATTACCTGGTTGCCAGTAGACATATACGCTTCCTACCCTCTCGATCTCGCCCTTCATGAGGGGCTTGACCAGAAGCTTCTCGAGGGCTTCCGAAACGGACAAACGTACGGAGGCCTTGGTGACGTAGGGTACAAACTTTTGGATCAAAGTAGACACTTCTGGAATACTGCTTGGAATGCTCTCTTGAGTTGTTGGTGGAGAGGTTGTCTCTACTCTTTCCAAGAAACTTTCCCCACCGCTCAGAGTATTGATCCAGTCGGCAAGGGCTAAAAGGCGATAATTTGTATGCGAGGCAACGTGCCCTTGATCTTGCTGAATATCGCAGAGCTTGTCGATGTCTGTTTCCCAGGCTTCTAGCTCTCTCGGGGCGACACGTTGGTGCGCCGAAGGACATAAAGCAACAGTAATCAGATTTTTCAAGCATTGGAGCACTTCACTGGATTTGATGGTAGTCAAGCTGTCTAAGGACTCCATAATGATTGGGACATTGGCTCGGCGGCGATTCTCGCATCGGACGCCCTTCAATGTCTGTGCTGGGCAGCGTTGGTCGTCCTCTCTCAAACGCTCCCGAATTTCAAGCGGTATAATAGTGTGAAGCGACTTTCGAGTGGTATTTTTGGCATCGCCAGAGGGGGAAGCCTTCTGAATCGAGAGGAGAGTCAATACGGCTTTGACTGTGCCGTCTCCCGATGACCTGCTCTTGCTACGTGGGTCATCTTCGTCGTCTTTAATCCGGGCTGAGTCAATCCGGTCATCCTCTGGAGGGGAAACGGTGATGGTCGGTACGATGGAATTGGGGGAGGAAGGTTGGTCAGCACTCTGATCCTGCGTGCAGGATACTACTGGATCCAAATGGAACTTCCTCGCGCCACCAACCTCGCTGGCTGCTCTCGGTCTTAGGAGCCATGTCCCTTCTGCAGAAAAATTCGTATTGATGCTGCTCGCCTGTTCGGATGTCCAATACTCGGGCCGGATATGCCGAGATCGTTTCGGCGTCTTCTGTCCGATCTGTATGGACGGCCATGTTATTCCCTCGAAGAACTTCCCCTGGTCGGAGACCCATGCAAGAGTATCGACAGGAGAAGTTGAACTCTCCTTTCGCTTGCTTAACACCGGCTTGGTGGCATCCTCTGAGCGTAGAGAAGAGATGCTGAGTCGGGGTCTCAAGCTCTTTGCTCTCTTCGACCGTTCCAATGGCTTGGTCGGGGAAGGAGCATTGAAGGCTGCAATCTGCCCGGCTCGATCATCGTCACCCGCGGAGTCGTCCTCTTCTTCGATTTGGGAGGACTCGAGGCTGTCTGTATCTAGTGCCGTCGACAATGCTTGGCCTTTGATTGGAGTCTGCCAGCCATAGTCATCCGTGATATCGGTGGCGGTTGACTGTGTGGGACTGAACGGACTTTCCTCTGGCGAGGGAGGGGATGAAATGACACCAGCGCTCGAAGCGCTGCCCGGGGGTGATTGACATCCACTGAGCATGGCTTGGTGCGCGGGGCCCTTTATGGGTGTACGTGGTGGCTCTAGATCAAGCTGATTTTCTTCTCCTGCCATGGTCGTTGCTCGAACTCCATGAATTCAGAGAAGACCACTTCCTTTTTTTCATAGTGAGAGTGGTCAACGATCCTATAAAGAGAACGAGGCCCTCCGGCCTTCGTGCTGGTAGCGCATCGATTGCGCATGAGCACGAGGCTGAAATAAGCCACCATGCCAGTTGTATGTGACGGGAATGCGCAAGGACATAACCCACGAATCACTACGATTACGCCGCCGGTGTTGCCGTTGGATTGAGACACAGCAGCCGGCTGAGCGGCATCATCTAGCGCGGCAGATTCCTTGAATGACCAACTTCTCAGGGAGCTGTATTGAGTACACTCAGACTGTCCTCGCAGGAGACCTAACGCAAGGGCTAGCTCCCGGTATCACATGCCCAGTGCCTGGATATATTCGAGCAATTCCCCGCTCCCACTTGTCTTTGCGACGGCCAATGTCATTCTCCATATCCACTGGACGTGGCTTATCCCCTTTTTTTGAAGGTTCAGCCTCGCGCGGCTGCGGGGGCAGCGGCTCTGGCCGAACCGAAGCACAGTGGGGCGAAGCATTTCAAACCATGCCCTGGTCTCCATGACTGTCGTTTGAAAAGCCAATTCATACCAGTGTAGCCTCACAGCATCCAATGGCATTTTATAGTTAAATCTTTTTAGGGCACGGAGACTTGAACTCAAATCCTCAATTGGTGGAATGATCTATATCTATATGAAACTATTTTCCCCGGGAAATGACCACTACTGTACTATAAATGGTGAGAGACTGCTGCATGTGTCATATCACGACAGCCAGTGGAATGTGTGGCGCAGCGGACGGAGAGACAAACCGGTGGTGATCCAAGATCTCACAATATCATTGCATAGTTTAGCAAGTTGCCAGAACAAGGCAACCATGAGATCACGCAGCACAGCCCTCGGCCACCATAGCCCTACTATGCTACTCCGTAGTATGCTTGTATTCAACAACGTTAGAGCTAGTACACTGTACAATGTTTGTCCATTAGTTCAGATTAAAGTGGTTCTTTGTCCGATTGCGGAATCACAGTTTACAACCCCAACTATAAGTGATTATGTTAATTGCCTTGTATTAACTATTTGACAATTGGATGTGTTATAGTGGCTTGCACCATTACCCAAGTCCGGTGGAGACAATAAAGGGAGACCGGGTTAGCGTTGACTACACTATTAGCCTGGTCCATGGTCCATAAGATAGCATGCCATGAGACAAAAAGCTACATAAACAATAGAACAGGACTCAGTAACAATCCTCTGCCATAACATGTCAGCCCTACAGGCAATCAGAAACCCAAGCAACGAGTCAGGCTGGTGGATCACTATGGTTTCGTACTTGCGGGCTTACGGGACCCCGCAGAACAGAACTATAGGCAAACGGCCAATATAGGGCCCTAAGCCAGACACAAAGTTCGCCCTTAAGAAGTGGGTTCATGTACATTGGAGATACAAAATAGTTAGAGTAGTGGTAGCCTGCATATCGCTTGCTTGCGAGAAGTCAGGGTAAATGAAGACATCCATCAATCAGACCGCACCCTCCAATTCCGGATAAATCACGACTTGTGGGTAGCAAAGGCCACTGGGTGGAGTTAGAGTGGCCTGCATCTCTGGGACGCAGCTGCTTAGATCCATTCATTGTACAGTACTGAGACGGTTTTGCCGCTTTTTCTCTTTAGCTGCCATATATCGTTTAATATGGAGTTTGTCTCCATGTCCCGAGAGCTTTTTCTCATGCACTGTGCTATTTCTACTGAGAGACCGTTTTTGCCTTTGGAGCCTTCTGGCTCAAGGGAATATTAGAAGGCTTCAGATCGAATCAAGCAGGTAAATATGGGACAGGCCATGCTTATTTAGAGCATTTTCCCCAGAGGAAAAGACTGGTTATCAATTCATCCTGAGAAGTTGTTGAATACCGCAAGGGGGCCAAGGCAATTCGAGGAGGTCCAGGCAGGCGAGTCGGATAGATTTACGGCTTATCCTCTGTTCAGAGATAAGATCCTTTCTGGAGAGAAACAATGTCCATGCAACCATTATTCATTGCGCAGGGAAGATGAGTATGGCTAGAGAGGGTAGGTTAGAATGGATAGTGAACAAGAAATAATGATAATTATGTAGAAAAAAGGCTGTATGAAAGACCAAGAAGATAAAACTCAAGAAGAAAAGGGACAAAGATGCATATGTGGTGTAGTAGAATGCTGAACCATGCCAAACCAGCCCTCGGCTTATTTTACCTTTCCAGATTCCCTGCAACACCAAACACCGCTTATATAACAAAGCCAAGCCCAAAGGGTGCCAAAGACGAGATGAAGATTGTAAATTGGAAGAAAAGATAGTAGAAAGCGTGATCGCCGTCAAGGAGGGTATCAGGGGAAGGGGGTATCTCAAGCAACAGTTCGGACGACGCGACACTCGCTTTTTGGTTCATTTTCTTCCTCGAGCAGATCTACGTGCACGTTTGCATCACAGAACGCCGCCGGGCAGGTTGATCTGGCCTTGTCTGCCCTCGAAACCTGCACTATTGGGGGCAGAGCCCCCGCTGGTGTAAGCGTTGTCAATAGGATGCAGCTGTTTTCGTAGCATGAACATCGGTTTTCTTCCCTCCTTCTCGAGTTGCTTGAAGAGAATAAGCGGCCGCTCCTCAAGTCCTAGGCATCGCTCTTGATCACCGTACACAATGTACAATGCATACTGCTTCCAATCGGCATTGATATTGTACTTTTTGAGTGCGGCGGGAAGAACCTTATGACAAGGGTCATCCATGGAAACACGGAATGACTTGAAGATCTCGACGCTAGGTGGATCGGCACCCGCTCGGGAATCGGACCGTGTCGGAACATCAGGGCGTGACGCTTGTGTGGGGGTTGGATTCAACCGATCGGGACGTGATTGTGCCGTCGGAGTATCTTCGGGATGATCATAGCCTGTGCGACCCGAATTCGGTTGTGTGTAAGAACGTGATGCAAGCGTCTGATGAGCACCGTAGTGGGCACCAGGAGACGTCGGCGATGGCATGCCCGGTGACAACTGTGGCTTGCCATTCAAAGCGCTAAGATGGGACGAATTCGCGGCAGCAGAAGGGTCCAGTCCACCGTTGTCGTTGTACGCTCGTCCTTCGTGTATCGATGGAGGGATATGCGTAGGCGAGTTGTTTTTTGGTGTGGAACCCCCAGTGTAGACGCGCTTGGAGAAAGTCCGAGAGATTCCGGACGCTGCACGCTCAATCAAGGTGTTTCCGGAGGGTGATACAAGGGTTTGGCCTTCGTAGTGGCCATCGGCTCCTGGGCCAGCTGATGATGGAGGGGGCAGTGGTTGCGATCGATCCTTGGCCATTTTGAAGACAGGAAGAAGCTCTTCGCGAAGCCGGCGATACTCCTCTGCAACGCGCCGCAACTCCGACTCGACACTGACGATTTTTTCATCTCGTAACCGGATCGATTGTATCAAACGAGCAATATCCTCTTGTGTGGCGGTTTCGTTCATGCTTTGGTCCGCCGCTGCAGACAGTTAGAACGAACACCCACGTCAGCATGGAAGGGGTACCTACAAAGAGGTATGTAGTGGTCAGGGTCGAGGGGAATGTCTTGCTTGACTTTAGTCTCGTATACACTTTTCAGAATGGTCAATCGGTGCCCAACGCTGGTGATTCCCATCTCTTTCAATTCCTCGTGTTTGAGCGCAATCAGTGCTTCGCCGACGATTTCGTTCTCTACAACGAGTAGGCAGGTTAGTAGCTTTCCCCACGCTCCAGAACTCTGTCTAATGGTCCCAATTGTTCTTTCTGTTAGGCGGCCAACTTACCAAGAAAAGTTGCGCAGTACTGACGGAGACCGAGGGCGGCAAGCCAGTTTGCGCATTCCTCAGCGGTCCACTCTGTAATGATAGTCTTCGGTGATCGAGGGTCTTCCTCGGGGTTTGCAAATGTCCTAGGAGTGTGTTCGGCTGAAGGGAATTCGGAGTCGGAGGGAGAGGCCTCGGAGTCGGTCGCTAGATGAGGGGAGGTAATCACACTCCGTTCGTACTCATCATCCGCGTCGGAGTCCGCATGATAGGATGTATGCAGAGACATGTCTATGGAAGGAGGCTAGGGAGCCGACAATGACGTCCACGGGAGCGAAGAGGAATGGAGTGGACGTCGGCCCAGAGAGTCTGCTCTGCAGCAACACTACTGTGAAGAGTGACTGCAAAGTGAGAAGACGGGGTGCATAGATTATGAGACAGTATTTGGTCTGCTTTAGAAGATCGCAGTCGAGGTCATCCAGAGTTGCGATTAAGCGAGGTCGGGGGGTGATGCAAGTGATGAGGGCAGCTGAGCCAAGCAGGTAAGCCACATGGACGGGGAACAATGGCGGTTAGAGGCAGCGAGGAATCGTCGAGATGCGGGGACGGAACGGAAGGGAGGTAGGTCCGTGAGGGTCAGCGACTGAAGTAAGGTCCTTCATAAGATGGTAGTATGTCGAGATAGCGAGTTTCGTCACGATGAGAGGTATAGTCGAGGTTGGGACCGATGAAGAATATGTTCCTGAGGCCACCAAGGCAGTAGTGGTTGGAGAGTGAGAGAGAGCGGGGGGAGCAGCGGATCTTCTCCCAAATGGGATGAACAGTAAATTAACAGAGGAGTGGTATTTATTCCACGAGCAAGAATTGAAGAAGAAGGTGAAGAGGAAGAGATCTCAAGGAAGAGGAATAAATAAAAATAGAGAGTGATGATAGTTTCTTCCTCGAGTATGTACCTAAGACCTAAGGAACAATCTATCTATGATCTGGGACGTGGAGTAACTCTTTTTCTTCCTTGCCAAGGTACCTTCTTAATGACCAATCCGAAAAAGGAGTGGCACTGGTCAGCGCTTCTAAAGTTGGACCGTTGCACGTGATCCTGGTCTGGACCCCCTTGCTGCTTGATTAAGTTGTTCCTGACTGAGGACGAAGGAACAAACAAAGTGGCACCGATGACGGTGATGATTGACACTACCTTACTCTGCTTGCCGATGAAGCTTGCTGGATGACTCATTTAATCGTGGTCTTCGCTAGTTACCGAGTTCCGATGTCACATTCTCCATGAGCTTCCCCCGTATCCTGCCAGGTGGTTTGCTCGTTAAGACAATCCCTTCTCCGACTCAGGTCTGTCCAGTAGTTACTCTAGTCGTTGATCATTAGTACTTTGAGTCAATGCATCGGAAAAGGGGCAAGTAAGCTATCAACGGCGACTAGTGGTCGAGTTACACCGTCAATGATTATTGCACAAGTCCAACTACTATCTTCTTGTCTCAGTCATCCCCAATTGTCCAAGGTCCAATCTCCATCAGTACGCAGGGGCAAAAGTCTACTGACGTTGATGGTATCCACAGAGTATAAAATCTTCAATAATGCTCAATGTTATTCGTGATAGGCGCTGTCAAAAATCAATAGTGCCGGGGACCTGTACATTTTGGGCCTAAAGAGTCGCAATGCTCCGCTATCATCGTGCTAATATTGCATTTCTATTCCGGGCTATTCTCTGATGCCTCTTTAATTGGAATTTTTCTGACTATTGACTCTCTTCCATGCGCTAATTGACTACAGAGCAAGGTTCTGCCCGGCTCATAAATTCGGGATTAGTCTTGGTCGACAGGCCTCAACATCTCTTCGGGGAGTATTTAGTGCAGAATACAGATGAATCAGCAGTTCGCGACTTCGCCTAGTCAGCGGTCCGATCCTTCTTCAGCATAATCGGCAGATTCCCCCCTAAGGATAAAGGTATGACAGTTGATATCAGCCATGGCAGATGTTGTATGAGCATGTGGTGCACCTTGGCTGTCAACTGGCAGGAGTGAAAAACAGCATGATATATATTGTTGTTCACTATTGAACCAGATCTGCTATTAATTGACAGTCTCCCCAACAAAAGCAAAGAAGCTCCATTATGGTCATCAATTTACTTTTATCTTCCCATTGACTCGATCAATAACAATGACCTGTGCAATGCTCCGTAGATGCATTGTCAATAGAAATGCCAATGCGACTGATACCCACTCTGGCGCTTCGGTTTGTTCAAAGCGCCAACAACGGATGGATAGTGCATACAGCTTCTGGACTATATAAGTGTCAGTGCGCTGATACTCGAAAGCCATTGTAATGCTTATCCTCAGAGTTCAGAAATGTACCTTATCATGATAGAGTCACTGGTCGTGATATATGAGGCCCCGTTTTCCCGTGGCAATTCAAACACCAGATAAGCCTCACATGGATTTGAAGATCGACAATGTTAACATGATAATGCGAAAGAAGTCTTCAAGAATGGTCCATAATGCTAGTAGTAAACATTGTCAATCTCATACCTATTGTCCTGGAACTTGTTTCCTCCATCAACGCTCCGGGGAAAAAATGCGGCGGAATTGGCCTCCAACACCGAGGTCCTCTGAGATCTCCTACACTTCGAATGAACACAATAAAGCTTGCGTTTATTGTTCAATAACACAAAACCTTCTTTCCGCATGGATATATATATGTTATCATTTTCACTATACTTCAAGTCTGTCCTGAATTAGTCCCAATCTCTCCTCCCTTGCCCACAGCGAAATTCTGGAATTGAAGTATCGGCGTCATCAATTCTCGGTAGTCGCCGACACGCACTCTACGAACCCAAGGTAAGAGTCAACCTGACAAGGCACGAATCGCAACAGCCCCATGAACTCCGTTCAATGCTAAAAAGACGCCGTCACAGAAAAGCGCAATTCAATCCTGCAGCAAGCTCCTCCGTACCCGCCGCGGGAACAGCGTCGCATCACCACCTCCCCACCGCAGCGCCAGCGCCAGCGCCAGCACGGCGGTATACAACTCCGTCCGCAGCAAAGAAGGAAGGGCAGGGACCCATCTCCCTCAGTCGGACGGATCGAAAGCAAATCCACCATACTACGGAGTAACCGAACGACCATCGTCGTCAACCACGCCCTCACCTTACCCGAAAATACTTCCCTACCATCCAATAACCTAGATACCGTCCGCCGACTCCTCAGCCCCGACAGCGTCACCACAATCCAACCACAACAACAGCAGAAAAGCTCGACTCAGAACCACACCCTCAGAGGAAGAAAGAGACAGAAAGGAAAAATGCCGTCGACAACCTCCCCACCACCATCCAACACCTCCTCCCCCTCCTCGCCCAACACCCTCACGCCCGAAACCCTCGAAACCGACCTCCTAACACACCTCGCGTCAACCACCGCCCTCGAAGACCTCCACGCAACGCTCCTCTCCTCCCTCCAACGCCTCGGCTGGACCGAAAAGATCCGCAAACTCTCACTCGAGCTCCTCCGCGCCGGCCGCTGCGACCGCTTCGACGACGTCGTCGAGGCGGTGGTCGCCTCCGCCGCGGGGATAAAGCCGCCGGCCGCTGCGGCGCAGAACGGGAACGGCAATGGCAATGGCAGCAACAACAGCGAGGATGACTGGGCCGAGCTAGACGAGGTGGACGTGCGGATTCCGAAGGCGGTGGTGGAGCAGGGGGTGCGGGCCATCAAGGAGGTCTTGAGGGAGGTGATTATGATAGAGGATGATCCGGATCTGAACGCCCTGCATCAGAGCGAGCATGTGTCGGAGAGCAAGGGGAGCTTAGAGGCTGAGGGGGAGAAAGAGAAATCCAAGATCTCCAAGGCCGGGGAGCCGTCGGTAAAGAATGGTGATACAAGTCCGACCAAGAAGACGGAGAAGAAGCCCAAGACGGGGAAACAGGTCAAATGAAGCGTTGCTTCAAGGATTTCTGTCCTACCTACGTTTTGCTCCACGTCACTTCTTCGCTTCCATTCCTGGGGATACCTTTACTTTGGCTCATGCAGGCGTTCGTCATGGCTTACGGTTTTTCAGTCGCAGTTTCTGGGAGTCTAGAGGGATGGGATTTTTGTCACTTGATACCATATCCGATCATTGTACAAGGTTTAAGAACCAACCTTCTCATTTACGTTCTAAGCTATAAAAATGAACTGCTCAAGCTCAAATGTATCAATCTTCCTCGTCCACCCATACATGAGGCGTATGCGGGAGATACAAGCTCAAGGAATCTTTATCGTAAGAAGTAAGCAAAATGTAAAACAATAGATACGCATTCGTGTCAACAGGTGAATCCCGTTCAACATTCCCAGGGTCATAGGCCGAGGCTAGATCTAGCTACTAGAGGATAGGAGACTGTAAAATGAAAACGGACCAAGCTCATTAGAGAACACCCATTTAGTCGTAGAGGCTATCATCATTGCCGGCTTCACCGAAAGTGTCGTTATTTTGGATCTCACCCGAAGAGGGGAAGCGGAAGAAGCTGCTCCCACCGGAGTTCTTCAGGCTCTGAGCGAAAGCCTCGTAACGACGAATCTCCACATCGCTGACGGAGCGGCGAGCCGACTTCATAGCCTCCTCGAAGTGAGCACGGGTGAGCTGGGGCACCGGGTCCTCCTCCTCGCCCTCATCCTCCATCTTGACATCCTCTCCAGCAGCCTCACGCTGCTTCTGGCGCTCAATATCAGCGGCAATGGATTCCTTGATGGCCAGCTTGACGGCGCGCTGGGTGACAAATCCAAGATCGGCACCAGAGAATCCATGGGTCTTGCTGGCAATGAAGGGGATATCAACGTCGGGCGCGACAGGGGTCTTGCGGAGCTGAGCCTTAAGAATGCTCTCACGAGAAGCCTGATCGGGCAGAGGTACGTAGACCAGGGTATCGAGACGACCAGGACGGACCAGGGCAGCATCGAGCTGCTCGGGTCTGTTGGTAGCACCGATGACGAACACATTCTTCTTCGATGTCATGCCGTCCATTTCTAAAGCATTCATTAGTCACAGTTAATTTATATCGCAGGGTTTGTCAAACTTACCAGTAAGAAGCTGGTTGACCACACGGTCAGATGCACCACCAGCGTCGCCGACGGAACCACCACGGGACTTGGCGATCGAATCCAACTCGTCAAGGAAAACGACGCAAGGGGCAGCAGCACGGGCCTTGTCGAAAATGTCCCGGATGTTGCTCTCAGACTCACCGAACCACATGCTCAGAAGCTCAGGTCCCTTGACCGAGATGAAGTTGGCAGCACACTCGTTCGCCACGGCCTTGGCAAGCATGGTCTTACCAGTACCAGGAGGACCATAGAACAGAACACCGCGAGATGGCGAAAGGCCGAACTTCTGGAACTTTTCGGGGTGATCCACAGGGTATTGGACGCTCTCAATGAGCTCGCGCTTGACCTCCTCCAGACCACCAATGTCCTCCCAACGGACGTTGGGAACCTCGACGACGGCAACCTCGCGAAGAGCAGAGGGGTTGGACACACCGAGGGCGTAACGGAAGTTCTCCATTGTAACACCAAGGGAGTCAAGCACCTCAGCGTCGATGGTGTCCTCGTCAAGATCGATCAAATCCATCTTCTCACGAATCTGCTGCATAGCGGCCTCAGAGCAGAGAGAGGCAAGATCGGAACCGACATAGCCGTGAGTCTCAGCCGCAATGGTCTCCAGATCGACGTCCTCAGCAAGCTTCATGTTCTTGGTGTGAATGGACAGGATCTCAAGACGGCCAGTGGGGTCGGGGATACCGATATCCACTTCACGGTCGAAACGGCCGAAACGACGAAGGGCAGGGTCGATGGAGTTGGGGCGGTTAGTGGCGGCCATGACGACAACGTTGGAACGAGCCTTCATGCCGTCCATCAGAGTCAGGAGCTGAGAGACGACACGGCGCTCGACCTCTCCGTTGGTCTTCTCACGCTTAGGGGCGATGGAGTCGATTTCATCAATGAAGATGATGGCGGGAGAGTTCTTCTCGGCCTCCTCGAACGCCTTGCGCAAATTCGACTCGGATTCACCGGCCATCTTGGACATGATTTCGGGACCGTTGATCAGGAAGAAGAAGGCACCAGTCTCGTTCGCAACGGCACGAGCCATCAGTGTCTTACCGGTACCAGGAGGACCGTACATCAGAATACCACGGGGCGGCTTGATACCGATGGACTTGAACAGCTGAGGATGACGCAGAGGCAACTCGACCAATTCACGGATCTGCGCCATCTGCTTTCTGCAACCACCGATATCGTCATAACCGACCTCGTTCAGGTTGCCCTCCTCATCCTCCCGCTGGATGGGCTCGCCCTCGCAGTGGATGATGGTATCTTGTGCGACAATACCGTACTCTGGGGGATCGACCTCAACAACCTTGAACTCCACCTGTCTCATACCTCCACGTACTGTGAACAGGTCTCCCTGTTTCACGGGTCTGTAGGCTTCACGGAAGTATGGGGCGAGGTAGACGTCGAAAAGGGATCCAGTCAGACCCTCTACGGTGTCTGCAATGGGAAGAACGGCAATCCGCTTGGCCTGCAGAGAAATGAAGGGTTAGTTTTCCATTTTCTTTGAGGGGATATTTATAGGCAAGCCTACATATTTGATATCTGGGCAAGGGTGAACGGTGATAATGTCACCGTGCTTGACACGTAGATTGTGTCTCACGACACGGTTGATGCGGGCGCTTCCATCATCCAGGTCATCATCAGCAAGCACAATCAAAACGGTATCCTTCCGCTTCTTGCCCTTCACCAAGACTGTGTCACCACGGAAAAGCTGGAGCGTCTCCATGGTATTGTTGGAAAGGGCAATAACTGAGTTGTCATCGTTGACGGCATCGGTCACACTAGGCAAATTAAGTCAGTTTCCACGCCCGCCACTTCAATAGCCATCAGCGTGCGGTGCGCTTACATCAACGAGTTGGGCTTCTTCTTCTTCTTGAGGATGGCTGTAGAGGTATCGAGCTCCTGCGTTTGAAGAGTCAGTACTAATGTTGACCGCTTGTCGACGCCACTAGAACTTTACCTCTTTCTTCTCGGCGCCCGAGGCGTCGCTGTTAGCTCGTTAGCATGAGGACCCTGTAAGACGAAGAACCAAGAAACCAAGGACGTACTGGAGGTGCACCCTCTTCTTATCGTGAGCGTGGTCTGGTTCTGCGCTCATTTTGACGAAGAAGACTGAGATACAGTGGTTGTGTGAACAAGCTCTTGAAGCAACGTAGACGATCTGCAGGTATCAAGGACGTCGCTCGGGTGAGCTCAACTGCCAAGTAGGCGAAAAAAAGCGAGAAAGGGAAATTGAAGAAAACGACGAGAGAGTTGTAGAGTCCGACAGACGAGATGAAGTGTCTGGGGGACGAAGGGAAGTGAAGAGAGGTGGCAGTTGGATGTAAGAGAGATGGATGTGAGGTTCGGAGGTTGGCAGCAACAGCTCCAGTTAAAGAGGTGACGATAGGTTCGGTGCCTGTCGGACTGATGACTTAAGCCGCCTCAGGTTCATCAGCCACAGATGCCGCCACCGCCCAAAGGAAGAAGCGAATGGAAGATGGTAGTATCCAACCACCAGAGGGACGGAGATTTGCTTTGAAATCCATGCTGCGTAACTACGTGTCCTTATCAGTCTTCATTCTCCCTTTGAGATGACAATGCTCTTCACAGATGCTAAGCTTCATGCATGGGTTTGCCACCCTGGCAGACAGCCGCAGGGCATACATTGCCTATGTGCCTGAGGCATCAATATAGGAACAAGTGTTCTTGGCAGTGAACCAGGCCTGGTGCTGGCATGCATTCATTATCGTGCCGTCCATTGTAATGTATGATACGGGGCATTCTCGCTCTTGATACAGGAACGAGCTGGTCGGTCGTATACCCGCCGAGGTAATGTAGATTGGATAAAGCTAAAATCCAACAACAGCCACAGAGACTGGACTAATAGCAAAGTTACAGAGTTGCATGCATGATATCTACCTCTCTATATAACCAAAGAAGACGGAGCAGAATCATACACGAGTGAATCACCGAATTGCGATCATGACTTCGCAGTCGCAGCCCAAAGATCGTAGAATCCCCAAGCGCCAGCCATGAAACTGATCACACCCGACAAACTATTGGGGATGCCAACGCCATTTTCGAAACACCAGTGAAGGCACAACGGAGCCCAGCAAACGTTGTTCACCAGAGCCTTCTTCCAGGCACGAATCTCTGCCCTCAGTTCCTCCTGGCCCTCCTTTGTCTGCGCCTTGGCCGGGTCACTTGCAATCTTCCTCCTCCGCAAGGCAACCTGTCTCCATAGCACGAAGAACTGGAAGATAATATGGCCGAACCAGGCCCGGATACTCCACAGATACCACTTGTTAATGCCCCCCCATCGATCAATCCATTTCTTCGAGATGACACCCTTGGATGCCAGGTAGCCCACGTTCTCGAGGAATTGGTATACCATGTTCACAGCCACCTGGGCGAGGGTCAAGTTGCGAATAATGGGATCCGAAGGTGGTGACTTCAGAGTAGCGGATCCCCATGTCCAGAGGGGAACTAGACCCAAGAGCCGGATGGTATAACGGGTCTCAGACATGAGAGAGGAAAGGGCGAGGAGCCGGGATTGCGGCGACGAGGACGGAGCGGTGGTGTTGCGTGTAGATTTCGTACGGTTGTTCAACCGGGCGAGAAGGCCCAGACGCGTTTGTACAGCGATCCATGGCGCAGAAGTAATGAGATGATGAAGTGCATGAGTGAGATATCCGGTAGCTGCGAAGACTCTTTCTTGACCGTAGGCTGTGGAAAGGAGTCTACGGAGCGTATTCGTTGTTAGTCACATATGCGTCGCATCGCTTTGACAATAGCAGAGGGCGTTGGAATTGACATGCACTTACCGGTCTAGACGTTCAATATTGTAGTCTGTTGCCTTGAGAGCTTCCAGCAGCTTGCGTTGAGTATCATTCCTCGCCGAAGAGGACGGCACCGGCGGTGGAATCCCCGCGGGGCTGACAGGCTTCCCCACACTGGGCGCTTCAATTTCATGTGCCACAGGGGGCTCTGACGAAACGAGTGTCTTTTCTGAGTCTGTCATGGTGGTGTCTGACTGTCTGACTATACTTAGAAAAAGTTGTGGAGAAAGTCGCGTGGCTGAGTTCTGAGATTTAAGGAGATTAGTAGTATGGAGCATCTGATGAGGATCTATGCTCACGGCGCTTCAGCCGAGGCTCGGAATTCGGAGCGCGCAGGCAGCTGGACACCTGGTAGCGTGCGATAAAATCGAAGACGTCCAACTTCAACAAGAAGGAAAATCACAAGTCCACGGTGCATTCGAAATACTCATAATTCAATCTGCATTCGATCTGCAGAGGTCGGTTCGTGACGTTCGAAGCTACTACATAAGGTCAACTGAGTACAAGTAGTATCTCCAGAGGTCTCCCTAGCCCTGGCTTGACCCGAATGTGGAGGAAACCAAGATTTCTTCCCAAGCAATCCTTGCATTGTGATTTATTGGCCAAAGATGAATGATGACAATGATAGCCAATGAATAAGATTACCAGACAGGTTTCAGGTACTTATGAACAGCTTCAACAGCATTCTCAAGGGCAGTTAGATTCACCTATCCAACAGATTTGGGCTCCATTCCCGCATCAGATTGTTCTGCTCAGTGAGTTGGTTGGCTATTGATTGGCGTGATCATTCGAATCGCAAATGTCAAAAGTCGTACTGCGAAATAGCGATTCCAAACCATAATCATCATCGCCCACTTCGACATCAAGGTCACTTTCACGCTCATGAGTGCTCCGTACTTCAGCAGCCTCAATGGCATTCTCTTCGGCATAAGCTATCAAGATGCTTCTCGAGCCGCCGCTCAAAAAGGAATGTCCTAATCCGCTGTCACTCAGCTCGGCAATAAGACCCGCGCTTGGAATCTCTCTGACTTCGAAGGGATCGCAAAGACTACGCAGATCAATTCGTGAGGCAATTGCGCAAAAGCGCACGAGTTGAGGCTGCATTATTGCGAGACTCATGCTCTCGAATGATGTATAAGAAGGTGTCGGCGGCCCGAAGAAATGCTCCCTCTGCTTGTAATGATTGTCCAAGTTGCGGACAACCCTAATGTCGGAAACCCTTTTGTTGCCGAGCTCCCATGGAAGGGTGATCGCAGTACATGGATCGTTGAGAAAGCCGTCAAGATGGATGAAGGCACGCTCAGGGATATGATCCATACAATGGTAGCAGCACCAGAATCGGCAAGCTGGACGCGGCTGCCTGGAAGGTTGTTCCGGGTAAGGTATTGATTCTACCTGATTCTGCCGACGGATACCCTCCATTCTCTCTGTGGGCAGTCCATCGTTGCCGTTGTCATCGTCCTCGTCGCCCGGTTCGACTCCCTGGATGACTTCGATGTGTGAAAACGGAGCTGCTGCCGGCCCATACTCTTGCTCCATATGCTGCAACACGATTGCCCTCTGTTGCCTGACGATCGTTCTCTCTCTGAAAGTGTAATGACCGTTTATCATGGCCCTGGAAATTCCTCGGGACAGCCCCGGACCGTTTGGTTGATCGAGATCTTCGACGCAGAGGAGCAACCATCCGAGTAGGGGCTGGCGAGCGCAGTTGGGACAAAGTATACGATCGTCCACAAACCGGCGAACCATAATGCCATGAGTACACTGTTTGTTCATCTCATACTGCGGAAGGTTGTGTTTCAGGCCAAAGGGTGCTCGAAGACGCCATCCTCGCCATGTACTTCCTGGGTATATGTCCGGCCGTTGCTCAAAAATATCAGGCAGGACGTCTTCAGGCCTAGGCACTGGAGGCGGGTTGATGCGAGGGAATGGAACTCGCGGAGGCTGCGCTTCGGGGACTCTGCTGTGCCATACAGGAGGTCTCGAGCTCCCCTCTCCATTGTCCGCCATGGCTTTGCATATGCGTGAGATGTTGGCTATGAAGAGAGAAGTGGGGTGTTAGGAGGAGGCATGACAGCTGAAATTGTACTGTGTGCTTTCTCACTCCAAGGGAAAATGTGAATGGGGTGTTCTCGGCGACGATGCCATGGTGATGTTGATTGCAGTGAGTCAGTTGATCGTAGGTGCTTTCCTATTGAGACCATCCTTATATCATAACTTCTACTGTGGCGGATAGATGAGTGAAAGAGTTAAGCATATTGTCTCAGAGCTCTAGGAGATTATAAAGAGCTTGAAGCGATTTCTCTGGTTCTAGATATCATCATAGTTGATGGTTATTTTGGTTGAGGTCCTGTTGTTTATGTAGCATAGAGGCAGGGACATGGTTCACTAACTCATCCTAAGCAGCAGCTTGATGGCTAGATTCTCCTTCTACTATGTCTTCTGACTATACTCTGTAGTGTTTTCCCTATCTTTATTTCTCATTGTAACTTCTCTTTATTCTACTTTGTGCATAATAAGACATGCCTAACAGAGTGATATATGATGGCAACAGTGTTATGCACACTGAAAGACCGCTACCTTTATTTTAAACAACAGCATAGACTGATGGACACCTGTAGCAGAATCAAACAAATCTAATTCCAGCCAAAAAGGTCCCAAGAAACACCATATCGGAAGAGCTCCCCAGATGTCGGAGGTGCCCGAAGTTGCCTGGCCTGTAAGGATTCACCCGCCATCTGCCGACCGCGTGGCCGAATAAGAAGCTGTTCTCAGAGATCGGAGATGCATCTTCCCCCTCCACCTTCAAGCAACTAATAACCGATATTATTTATCTATCTCCATCTCAGGAACGGCGTTTGGGCCCCATTACATCCTGTCTGTCTATATCTCGATCAATTGCATGCACATAACTCTCCGGAGCTGCTGCAAGTAAGACATTTTGGTTCCTCTGTTCTCCTTTCTTGCTATATCCTAGTTGTTGTTGTTGTGTCGTGGTCTGGGCCAGGCTGCCTCGGTAAGCTCCCTGGTGCAATCAATAACCGTCTCTCTCTGTCTTTCTCCAGCCTCCTCTTCACGTAAACAAACAGCGGCCGGCCCCCTTTCCCTTTAGCTCTCTTTAAACGTCCTCTTGTCCAACCCCACGATTTTTCTTCCTATCCAACCTAGCGGCCTCCTTACCCACCTCTCCCTCATATTTTCTCGTTCCGTCGATTATCAATTGTGGTCGTTCTCATTCCTGACCCTCTGTGATTGACTCGTCTCTCTCACTGCGCATAGCTATCGGCTATTCTTATCGCCCCCATTACCCGATCTGTCTACCGACCCGCAAGTTCCAATAAACACCAGCAACCATGTCGGTCAAGTTTCAGGAAGAGGTCACCAAGTCAATCCGAGCGGATACCAAGGAATTGGCGCATAAGGTCGGGGAGCGGTTGACGGGTGGAAATGCTCAGACAGGCTACCTCGCTGTATGTTTAACCTGCTGCTGATCGACACGGAAGAGTACTGCGCGGAACGATGGCTGACCGGGCATTTGAACATGGCACAGCTCTATCTGCGTCAACTGCAGTCGAATCCCCTGCGCACGAAGATGTTGACATCCGGTCTGCTTTCCGGTCTCCAAGAAGTCCTAGCTTCCTGGATTGCGAACGATGTCAGCAAACATGGGCATTACTTCAGCGCTCGGGTGCCCAAGATGACCCTCTACGGCATGTTCATCAGTGCGCCTCTGGGCCACTTGCTCGTCGGCATCCTCCAGAAAGTCTTTGCTGGTCGCACCAGCTTGAAGGCTAAGATCCTCCAGATCCTCGCCAGCAACCTGATCGTACGTTTCTGTCATACATGTCCTATGCACTCGCCAAACGGCTAGTGCATGTCACTCAGCGCGGCAAATGCTAACTGCAATCGCAATTGCAGGTCTCCCCCATTCAAAACGCAGTCTACCTCACGTCGATGGCTATCATCGCCGGCGCGCGCACCTTACACCAGGTCCGCGCAACCGTTAAGGCCGGCTTCATGCCCGTCATGAAGGTCAGCTGGATCACGTCACCTCTGGCGCTCGCTTTCGCCCAGAAGTTCCTTCCCGAACACACCTGGGTGCCATTCTTCAACATTATCGGATTCTTCATCGGGACCTACGTCAACACTCACACCAAGAAGAAGCGCCTGGAGGCTCTGAGAAAGGTACAGTCATCTTCTCTTTTCAAGTAGAGCCCCGCCGCTAATATGCAGCAGCGCTACGCTGAACGCCGTGGCCCCGGCAGCGAGTACGAGAAGGGCGGCGACTACCGGTAAATAATGCGAATATATCTAGCGATTCGCCAGACCATCCCATGCCGCGCGATAAACTAGGACCAAGATTTGGGGACCTGTTGAATCCTCGGATATTGGGCTTGCGGCTGGCGGACTGCTTTGCATGCATATGATGCATGCCAATTTATTTCTTAAACATGTCTCATGTGACATCTCTCTTCGACCCAGTGATTCCCCTGATGTCGAGATGAAGATATGCCTTTTCTTTTTATCTGTTACGGTTGTTTGGACTTCAGCTCGATTTCGGACTTGTCTTTTACTAGATGATAGATCAGCAGTCCTCCAGCAACATAGTGAGACCTTGTCGACGCTAGAGAAGTTGAATTGCTCATTTACACATACTTTCACGGAGTAGGAAGGATGGCACACAACCTTGATGAGGAGGGTGATCAGGCCATGCCTAATAAGACTGATTAATGCACTCCATCATTCTTTGCCAGTGATCACTCGACCTCCATTTCCTCCGCAGACTTGCCCCGTTTCGCCTGCACCCAACCCACAAATTCATCCAGGGTCCCCGGCCAAGCGGCGTCAGCACTCCACCAACCAAAGTTCTCATCCTCGAGGGTCTTGCGCAGGAACACTTCAACCTGCTCCCACAGATCCTTGTTCACGGGTCGCTTTCCGCGCTCTTCCAGATATTCAATCCACCAGTCCAACCAGGGAGTCGTAGGCGTGTTCCACTGAATGCCACCGTGCTCGGGCGTAAAGAACAATCTCCACTGTTCTGCGGCAATATCGAACTGCAGATTCCGCTGGCCTTGCATACGACAGAGAGGAAATGTGTAGCGATAAACGCGGCGGAAGAGGTCTAGTTCAGCCGGGATACGAGCTCGAATGTCCGCAGCATGAGCAATCATCTTTTGTA